CCATAGCAGACGAGTCTACAATTGAAATTTGAAAATTTTCAATAAAGAAAAGAAATGGACTGCCTGTTCAACTGCTTAGCTTTCAGGAAATATAACTACTAATTTAAAATTAAAAATGCTTTGAACTTTCCAGGTTGGAAAAGAAAAACACTAAAATTACAGGTTGTTACCTTGTTAGAAAAGAATATCCTCTCTCCTTGTACCCACGAGTTGCAGGGGAAATGAACAGCTCCACTTACAAACCCTTCGATGACTACGCTTTCCAAGAAGAACTCTCTTTGGTGTTTGTTTGTCACAGAAATAGCTCCAGGGACTCCAAAATTCGAGTCCACAATGAATTCGGTTGTATAATTAACTCTCTCTGCCTTCACACTGGATTTCTTGGACCAGTCCTTTAGAGCTGCTTTGTTGCTCTTCTTTGGAGATTTCGTTTCTAAGAAGCCAAAATAAGCGATAATTCATTGATCGCCAACCATATATCAGTTAAAAGGTAGAAGAGGAATATTTGATAATAATTGCTCTAATTTTGTATACATACTATACTAGTCCCTAGGGAAAGAATTTATCGGGTGATGAGAGAGTGGGAGGTGAGAATGGAGAGTTGTGAAAGGCTTACTTGGATCAATGTCGGAGCTGATAAGCTCCAGCACAACGTTTCTTGTGCCTATCCTATCACTGATGGCATCCAAATGCTTCAACATGGTCTCTTTGAAATCCTCTTTGATCTTGTTCCTCACCGTTACCACAGCTCTGACCTTGAACTGCACTGGTTTCTCTGCATGCACTCTGAGTGTGGTCTTTATCAAATCCTGACTGATAGCTGCCACTGGAAACCTTGCTCCCCTTCTAAACCTCGTAACTCTAGTTGTGTTTGGGAAAGGAAGCACGGTAGGATTGAGGCGGAACATGCGTTGGTTGGATTGAGAAGTATTGTTGTGCAGAAGCACGTTGGAGGAAGCAGAAAGAAAGGAGGTAGAAGCCATAAGTTGGTTTGGAATTCTTTGTCAAAATGAAGGCAGAGTTTGGTGAGTCCGTCCATATTTATATGTGAATGTGAATTTGATTTGTTTCCCTTCTCATTGGCGAGAATGGGATACCAAGTCAAAACTATTTTTATATTTAATTTAATGACTAAACTTTTACCAGTAGTTTTCTCTTCCCACCAGTACTGAAAACACCACAACACATTTTTTATTTGATAATCACTAAACTATTCAAATTGATGGGAATTTTTACTATATTTATTCGTATTTTTTATATATGAAATAATATATACATTTTATTGATAATATTACATACTTAAATCAAAATAATAACAACTATTTTTTATCTTATTAAAATCATTTAATATTTAATTTAAATAAAATATAATAAAATAATATTCTCAATACATTTATTAAGTGCTAAGAATTTTAGATGTGCGTTCAATATACGTTTTTCAACTGAGTATCCAAATTGTTTTTGGAAGAAAGGATGTCCATAGCTTTTGTAAAACAAATCCCTTTCCTTCTATTTTCATTCTGATTAATGCTTATTACATACTCTTGCTAATCATGTATTAATTAAGTCAACTTATCAACTCAATACTACCTTCGAAGCAAAAAAGGAGAGAAAGCATATTATATATTTGTTTTTAACTAATTATTGTACTTTCTAGTTTTTTTTTTTTTTTGCCATGTAGGACAAAGCATGTCCTGCTTACAGAGACACTGTGTCCTGTTCAGATTTTTCTGTAAAATTTGGAGTTACAGGATGTTAAGATACCATTTTGACCATGTAAATAGATATTAAATAGAAATATGTAACAAACAAAAATAAATAAATAAATAAATAAATAAATATTAAAAAAAAAAGGAGAGCACTACTTTATTATTTTTATTTAAATTAAGTATTAATAAATTTTATTATTTTTAAAAAATAAGATAAAAGGATATAGGTTATATTTTGATTTATATATTAAGATATTGCTAATATTTAATATTTTATCATATTTTTTATTTTATATATAAATAGAGAATATAAATAAAACATATATATAATATGAGAAAAATACATATATATTTGGCACAGAATTAATTTTATACCAAAAAATTATATATTAATTATAGTAAAATTTACTTTGTTTTGTCACTTTCTTTATTTTCAATCAAGGAAAAAAATTTCATGTTTATTTCTCTTTCTGCATAAACTTTTCTTTTCAAACTAATGGACCGTTACACAAAAGTTAAATATATCATAAAAAGCATAAATCATATTGATATTATATTTTTGAAAAAAAAAACATTTTATGATAAAAGTTTGATCCATACTAAATTATTTTTTGCAATTTTACTAATTAAGGATTAGAAGGAAAAATAATAAATTTTAAAAATAAAATCGCCTTAAACTGAAAAACAATTTTTGAAAACTAAACACCGGTTATATTTAAAAACATACTACTAACTATTATATTGAGAGGGACCTTTGAAAATAAGAAAAGAATTAACAAGTGGAGAATAATTACTCTCACAACAATGGTTTCGCATTCTAAGTAGAAATAATTTTTGAAGTATATTATATCGTTTCTCTTAACTTTAGCCTCAATTTAAGACCGAGAAATATTAAATTATAGTATATGATAGTCATTTCTCAGAATTTGACATGATACGATGAAAATCCACATGGAATTGCGCAAAAACAGAAGAAGGTTGGGAAAGAATATTAAAATGAGAGTTGCACGTAGTTGAGACCATAGAATTGTTGTGGAATGTAAACACAAGTTAGCTGGAAATCTTGTTCTATAATTTACATACATTTTAAAACTTTTGACTTTTCATTTTCATATTTGAGCGCAAGTGTCACAATATAAAAGGAGATGCTTTATTTCACAAATATTGTTGAATAACAAGTGTTGGTAGGTGGAAGTTTAGTTCCAACTCCAATGAAGCGAATGAATCAAAGTCATACATAGCAGAGTTTTCTTCTTCTTCTTTTTTTACTTTTTATGTTGTAGTCGCACAATTATACTTAATTAATCTAACATATCACAGGGTTCTCTCGTAGTATGATTCAACAAGTGATTTTCAATAATCGACATAAAAGTAATAAAAAATTAGAAATAGCTAATGGACCAGTAGGTCTATTTGGATCCAGTTTCTCACCATTTTGTCAAAAACAGATCATTGATTAGTCCTTTAAGCAAAAGTATTTTATTTTTTATATTAGACACTTATAATTTTTTTCTATATATTAATTTTGATGTCGTAGTTTTGAATGGTTTATAAGACTAAATTATATTTAAACCTAAAAAATAATAATATATGAAACAAAGTTAAAAACTAATTGAAAGTAAAAAATGAAAACCAATAATCTAATAAATTAAAAAAAAAAAAAAAAAAAAAAAAAAAAAACAGAACTGATTATGGCAGAAGGTGTAAACGGGGAAGAAATGATGAGTTGAAAAAAATGTAGGTTTCAAGATTCAAAACATGAAGGCCTGCAAGTCAAAATCTATTGGGCCGGCGAGTCAACGACCATATGAGCCACGACCAATTCCTTATAATTCTTTCAACAATAACGGTAACAACTCCCTCTCTAATTCTGGATCACTTACATATTAAGCAGAGAAATAATCATATAATTTTTGTAACTGAGAACAAGAAAGATAAATGATTTGGTCTTTTAAGTATTTTGTAACCGAGAAGATCTAATTGAATGGTGGAAATGATTATGAAACAATTGAATTGATAAAGGTGAAGGTGAAGTGGGTGCAAAGGAAATACCATTATAAGTGTGACATGAAAGATAGAATGTTACAGACAGGAGAAAGATAGGAGAGTATGTAAGATTTTACCTTTTTATGTTATAGACAGGAGAAAGGGTAAGTTTTGTATGAGGTTTCTTACTTCGCTAACAAAAAGTTAGTCACTCTATCGATCTCTTACTTCCCAAAATTCATTCTTTCAGTTACTCCTCTACTCTGCATGTGGAGGACCACATTTTTCTTGCCTAATAACAATATCAGTAAATAAAAATATCAGTATTTGTGTCATATCGCTGGTCACATCAATAGATGGTGTTATGTATGTTATTATATAGATGTCACATTAGTTATTTTCATAAAAAAAATGACAGTAGAGTTGCGTTGAAGTGTTTGCATAGAGCGTTGAAGTGTTTGCATATGGAAAATGCAATGTGAAAGAGTGAGGTTATGTTATGGAGTCCATGTCCATCTACTTTATAATTGGAGCAGGTGAAATCCAGGAATCGGTCCGGTAAGTGAGCGACATTCCCATGCGAGTGTGGGTGCTCTTCCTTCCTTTCAAATGTCGCACATACTCGTACTTATATATACCCTTTTCACTCACTTTCATCCTTTTCTTCTTCCCTCTGCCCATAATTATTATGCATTTCTTTTTTTCTAATTCTCTTATCTTGCGTTTCTCTTCAACAAACAAAGTTCCATGTGTACTCACCTCCCGAGTTCCAATACCACATGCCTTTTGCATATCCACGTTACCAAATAATACTATCAGATTATCAGATATAACCATTTTAATGCCTGCCATAGTACATTTCTCATACCAGTCCAAAACGACAAACACTACACTAAACGCGCTATTGCTTCCTTGCACCAATCACTAAATTTCTAGTACTCTTCTAAGCGTTACTCATGAAGAATGAGAGGTCCAATGAATTACCAAGTACTAACAATTTAATGTCTATAAAAGATAGATTAGGTCGTGTTTGGGGACTTGATCCAAATTAAAGATAAAAGGGTAGGGTCAATTTGGCATGAAATTCATCAAATTGTCATCTATATTTCTAGTCCCAAAGCTCATCCCTCCTAGTCATTGGCTTCCAAGATCTGACCAAAACAAATTCACTTGGTTAAAAAAGAGGTTCATTTATACACCTCTCTCACCCTCTCACAGTCACTATCTTCCAACCACCATCATCTTCACCTTATATATTTTTTTCACACTAGGATTCTCTAAGCCCATTCATTCCCTGCTCTCATAATGAAGGTAGGTCTCCTCTCTCTCTCTCTCTCACACACACACACACACTCACACCAACGAGAGAGGAAATGATACTGCTATCTTACACTAGTTCTCGTTATTCATACGACCAGAATGGCTGAATGAATTAATATTAATATCTTTTGCTTGTGTCATTTGCCTCAGTTCCTCAGCTGGATGCAAAATAAAATCGGTGGGAAGCAAGATAGCAGAAAACCAGACACATATAAAACTACTACTTGTAAGCTTTCTACTTCGTTATTCATTTTTCTTTTCCTTCTCCCTCACTTAATGCATCATTTTTTCTAGAATGATCCATGTAAGAATATTCATTGCCTGCTTAAACACACACCACACCAGCTTCTCTTTTTCGAGGAAATTAGCCATGACAGAAATAGAAATAAGCATATATATATTTTCATGTGTTGCGTGTTTTACTTCATTGTACCAAAGCTAGATTCTTCTTTCATTAAAAGTTTGTACTTATAGATGCATAGTTGAGAATGTTTTGTGTGTTGATTAACTTATAAACGAAGAGAAATAATATATATATTTTTGTATTTCAGAATGTTAGTTCACACAAGTTTTTGTGAGACTATAGCTTTTGTCCTTTTATGACGAAACTAACCATCTTTGGTTGAATGCGCGATGAGATCTATAAGAAAGCCACCCATGCATACCCAGCAAGAATAGGGAGATCTTAATTATATCTGTTTCAATTCTTCCTCTTAAATTGCTTTTAACCTTTTCATCACAGATCGATCCTAAATGATTACGATACAAAGGTAATATGTATATATTTTTGTCCAATACTATTATTTGAAACCAAGAAAATTAGTGTAACATGAATTTATATTATTTTATTTCATTTCGATAAAAGTTATCTCATTCTAGTTCTGATTATAAACAAAGTGTGGTATTGCAGTAGAATTTTAAGGATCTAAGTTGCGATATATGATCAATTTTCCATATCCCTATACTTTATCTTCTTAGATTAGTGTACTAACTTTCCCGTAGTGTAGGAGTTTAATAGCAGAAAGTTATAATTTAGGTGTGACTTGAAAAGATTGATGAGGATTTTATGGGCACTGCGCAGATGATGGAAAGGAAGGTGGTCGAGAAGAATTCAGCGATTGGCCTGATGGCTTGCTAGCGATTGGTACCTTCGGAAATAACAATGAAGCAAAAAAGAAGCGAATCTCTGCTACAGAGGATCCATCCTCCTCTCTGGAAATACCAGACTTCTCTCCTGAAGAAATCCGGAAGCTACAAAATGAGTTGACTAAACTGTTGAGACAAAAACCCAAAGTCGAAAAGGATATCGCCCACCTTCCTCTCGACAGATTTCTCAATTGTCCATCAAGCTTGGAGGTTGATCGCAGAATCAGCAATGTACTTTGCACTGAAGAACAACAAGAAGAAGAACATGAACAAGAAGAAGATATTGAGAAGACACTAAGTGTCATACTCTGTAAATTCAAAGAGATTTGTGCAAAAAACAGTAAGAAAGCAATTGGGAAGAAATCAATTTCGTTTTTGCTGAAGAAGATGTTCGTTTGTAGAAGTGGATTTGCTCCAACACCCGGCCTTAGAGATACCTTTCAGCTACACGAGTCAAGAATGGAGAAGGTAGGTATTCCCTTTGCATCCGTTGGATTCGATTTATGCATTGCATGAATTGTGACAATACAATGGAATGTACACAGCTTTTAAGGACAATTCTTCACAAGAAAATAAACTCCCAACAATCTTCTCGGGCACTGTCTCTCAAGAAGCGTTTGGAGGACAGGAAGAAGATGCGAATAGAGGATGAAGCAGAGGACAAAGCTGAGCCTGAAACTGATGATGGCTGTAAATGGGTGAAGACTGATTCCGAATGTCAGTAATTTCATATTCACATATATTCGCTATTCTTTCTTATATAGAGAGAAGACAAGACATGATATTCAAATCTTTTTTGTTCTTGCAGATATTGTTTTGGAGATTTAATAAATCCACCTCAATTTTTAACAGCTCTTTCTATGCGTCTCAGTCAGGTAAGGTAACCTTCATAAGACACTCCTTCTCCTTCTGTTGTGTCTTTGGCTCAAGTAATGTAATTGTAAGCTTTCAAAAATACTCATAAAATTGCAAAATTAATATTTATTTTGTCTCAGATTCAACGAAGAAGCCAAGGATATAATACAGGCCATTAGGAGAGAGCGTGAAATGGAGCTCATTTTTTTACAAGAGTTTATCTGTGATCTTGCACACACTGATCAGTGGCTCAGATCAGCAGTATCGATCTCTCTGTTTTGTTAACAGCTAGCGCTTCCCCTTTGTTTTTGTTTTCCTTTTTTTCATGGTTGTTTCTGAGGATGCAGAGCAACTCATGTTATACTTAATCGTAAAAAGCGAAACTCGTATCAACCTACACATTCTGAATCCACTCTCTTATCTTCTAATTTCTTATCTACTCCCCTTGTAATATTACCGACAATGAATAATATTAATACAATATCTATTTAATTTTACTTTTACTTAAAATGTTACATTTTTTAATTTTTTAACAAATTACTTAGGAAATAATGACAATTATTTTTATACAATTAAAGGAAGAACAATTTAGTTTAGAACATATGTAATGTAATTCACAATATTATTCAATCACAAATTATTGTACAAGTTGTGTTTTATATTAAGTTTTATGATAATTATGTCAAAAACCATTTCAAGAATAAATTTTTATTTGTCCATAATATAGAAGATTTACACAGTGATAAAAATTTAAAAGATAAAAATATATAGTATTTTATAATTATAAAAATCTCCTTCGTTTTTTTCAAAATGAAAGGGAAACACTGAAGATTTTCTCTCCTTCATAGAGTTAATACACATAGCTTATTTTAATCCTAAAATATATAGTTTTCCGCTATGATGTTTCCCTGAAATATGTAACTTGATGGAGCTAATTATCAATACTAACACTATAATTAATATATATATATATATATATATATATATATATATATATATATATATTATCATTTTCTCAATAAGAAATCATTTTCTAAAAGATAAATTTTAAATTAAAATTTAATAACCATTATTTAGAGTAATTAAAACTTGTAAGAATTTGTTTGTCATGTCTCTTAATCTATAAATAAATATTCGGTTTGAGTTAAAATTAAACCAATCAAATTATAGGCTAGAAGATTAATAGCTTTAACAACGTTTATCAACTGGATCAAATTATAGGCTAAAAAAATATTAGTTTTCAACCAGATTTTGCGAATTTATTATAAATTATGGGAGTTTCTTTTGTTCGGGATAATTATTTATGAATTTGACAAGATATGTATAAATAACGATGTTTTTGCTTAAAAATTTATGAATTATATATTATAAAAAATTTAATAATTTGAATTTAAAACATTAATAAAATTCAACTAGTACTAAATAATATGTTATACCACTTTGTCTATAATAATCATGATGACAAAGTACATCAATGGTGCAAAGATGAGTTTTGGTAAGGAGAAATTATTAGGTAGGAATGAATTATCATGTCATGGTTTCAAGTAGTTTTTAAGTAATATATATTTAAATTTTTAAATTTAAGAGAAAATAATTAATAGTTAATTATTAGAGTTAAGAGATTAGAGCAAAGGCATTTTTGTTGATGATATGAAAGGTAAATAAAAACTTTTACATGATTTAGTAAAAGAGAAAATTAAAGCAAAGTGGAGGATTGAAGAAGGTATTAACTGTGATGAAGTGAGTGATGGATGTGTCATATTTCGTATGTCATTCCAACCTTGAGAAGTCTGTTGGGTGGGATAGCCATGGAATTCTGGCCTTGTCTGAAGTTCTTTCGGAAGAAACTGTAGAAATAGTTGACGAAGATCTTATTGAAGATGGAGGAATTTGGGTGAGCCACGACCTCTGCTTCTGCGATCATATACACCACGCCCTTCTCCAGCGCTTTGTCTATGAATTTCAGTTCCTCTTCGGCTCCCTGGATGGGTGGGGCAAGGAAATTAGTGGCTGATCGAATGGAGTCGGATGAGACCGATGCCGATTGGTTTGGGATTATTCTTGTGGAGGAGCTCGCACCGGACCTACCCTTTTTCTCTTTAGCATCCGGTGCCTGTTCACCTCCACCTGCCCCTCCACTTCCACCTCCACTTCCCTCCACCTCCACCGTGTAATAGTTCTCTTCCTGAACGAATGCCTTCAGATGTTGTATCAACTGCGACTCAAACTCCGCAAGATCTTCAAGCAAGTCATTGTAACCATGCCTCACAACACACCGAAATATTCTGTACTCTCTTGGCTCCACCTGCCGGAACAAGAACCTCTCCTCCAATGCAACTCTACTCACCGGAATAGCCTTGATCGACACGAACACAACTATTGAATGGATCGATGGTATGCTGCCTATCAGGTGTGGGAATATAGGAGGAATGCCTTGCACCAGCTCTGAATACAGAAGTCCTATCCCGGGCACTCGCCTTACATCTGGGTTTTTCGCCACTTCATTCAAATACGCACTCGATACCTTGTTTTTCAGCTCAAACATGTACCTTTCTTTGTGAACGTAATGCCACGTTCCCATCACCGTCGTCAAGAACATAGCTGATACAATTGGCAGATACCCTCCTCCTGTGAACTTTGTCAGTTGAGATGTGAAGTAAACTAGCTCAACGAAACCGAATCCCAAAAAGAACAGACCCACTAGCCATAGACTCTTTTTCCATAAAACAAGCATTATCAGCGAAACCAGAGTTGTTGTGATCATCATGTCCCCAATAACTGCAATCCCTGTATACACCCAATCATACATCACTTCTCCATTATCCTTTCTTATCACAACATACATAACAAAACAAGCATAAACAATAATAATAATAATAATAATTACTTACCATACGCATGACTAATCTTTTCTGTGGTCTTGAAGGCAACACACACCAGAATACATGCGACCATGAACATGTAGTTGACCTCTGGAATATACACCTGGCCCTGATGTTTAACGGAAGTGTGCACTACCCTAACTCTGGGGAAACAACCTAGACTTAGGGCCTGGGATATAATGGAGAATGCTCCTGAAATCATTGCTTGGCTAGCTATAATGGCAGCAGCAACAGCCACAACAAATGTTGGCCAGTATAAGCGATCTGCATGTTATTTTGATCACAATTAATTGATCAATTGTGTTTTCTTAACAATATGTTGATGAAAAATGGACTCGTTAATGATCATATCGCTAGCTCGTTAAAATTAAACAACTTACGCGGAATGCTATCATAGAAAGTATTAGACACATTCTCAGGGAACTTCCGGAGATATGCTGCTTGCCCAACGTATGCAGTCACTATTGCTGGAAATGTAATGCAAGAAAAGCTGATCTGCAACACATTAGAATGTATCATCAACTTAACTGCAACTAAACAATCAATTGCAGCATGAAACAATTTGTATAAAGAATTGAACACAAGAATAAACATATTTACTTACTTGAATGGATCGTACATTAAAGTGACCCAAGTCAGCAAACATGGCCTCAGATCCTGAAATTACATGTACCTTAGTTAGAATTAAAGGTTGATATAATTAAATGAAGAAAGATTTAAGAATAGATGCTAGTAGTCACCTGTTATACACAAAAAGACTCCACCAAGTGATAGCCATCCTTGCTTGCCGTTCCGTTTGAAGTAATCATATATATATTTTGGATTAAAGGCACGTAATACTCCAATGTCATGTTTGAATAAGTTGTAAAGCCCGATTCCTCCGATGAACAAAAACCAGACCAAAATAATAGGAGCGAATGAGAATCCCACTTTATCAGTACCGAATCGTTGCACAGAAAATAGAACTATCAAAATCACTATTGTGATTCCCACAACAGCACCTGAAGAAAAATAAAATAGCACGCACGCATTAAAAATGATATATGTGCACTTCAAATAAAATGGCGTTCAAAGGGAAAAATCGTAAGACATTGATTACGCACCTTGACCTAACGAAGAACTGATCCCACTAACTGCTGAAAGGACTGCGCATACATTAAACAGCATAAGAGTATGAGACCACTTAAATTATTTGGTACGTGCATGCATATTATAAGGGAAAATATGAGAAATTGAGGAACCTGAAATTGATGGAGTAAGAATCCCGTCTCCTATAACCATGGAAGTTCCCATTATAGCCAAAAACAAAAGCACAATCCGCGCAGCAGGACTGCCCTCGAGCTTCTGCTTCACTTTGTGGGCTCGTTTAACCTCACTTGACGGCGTTTCAAGTTTGTAGTTTGAAAGCTCCCTGTCTTCTGGTTGTTCATTTGGGATCAAACTCATCTTTATGTGTCGACATATTAACGAATACAGTGCAAATGCTCCTCCTGTATTCGTACATTATTACACAAACTTGTTAGGATTATCAATTAACAATAAATTTTTATTTATATTTTATTTCCCAGTTATTATTTTTTATATATTTGAGTTAAAAAATAATAATTTTCAAAAATGTCTCAAAGAATAGTGCTCATATTTTTCAAACCTTAAATGTATAAAAAAAACGCAAAATGATATATATATATATATATATATATATATATATATATATATATTCCTTTTATTTTGCTTGGTGTTTAAAGTTTTTGCATAAAAATAGTAAAAATATATAATAAATATTTTACATTTTAATAAAATGTTCTATATTTCGTTGATGTTTAAATTTGAGTACTTTTTTCTAAAATGTCCAACAAAGAAGGGAAAAAAAGAATTACAACATATACAAACGACAATAAGTTAACTCTTTTGATAAAGACGAGAACGGATCAGGGATTCAGAAAAGGACAAATTTGACACCGATACCAAAGCAAAACAATCTGAATTTTGTTTAGAATAGTGATATACAGAATAGAACTCAAAATAAAAAATATCTATTTAATAATCTCTTTTATTAATACAATAATAATATTTATATTTACTTTTTTCATTTGTTATTTAAGAATTGCGTATTAAATGTTTATCTAAAATGGGTTCTTAAATATCATTTTCTTTTTATTTATATGAGTACAAAATTCTACCACTTTCTTTCATTTCGTTTCATTTACAATTGATATTTATACATATATATTAAGTTAATTTGAATATCTGAAAGATGATTTTTAGGTGGGTACGTTGATTCAGAAAAGATCATTTGAAAGTATAAAAAATGACGTAAAGATAAAAATATTATATTTTGACCCTGTTTTAAGTTGAATTGTATAGAGAGGTTGTATTTGTTGTTTGTAGATTACAGTATTGAAATATAAAGATATAAAGAAATAAATAAGGAAGAAATGATAGAAGAATTTGAATAAAGAGGAAGAAGGTTGAGAAAAGGAAGGTACCGTTGCCATTGTCGTTGGCCCACAATACGATGAAGACGTATTTGGTCATGGGTATGAGAACGATGGTGTAGATGATGAGAGACAAGACACCGAGAATGTCGTCGTGGTTCTTAATATTGTTGGGGAAGGTGCTGGAAAACACATAGAGGGGTGATGTACCAATATCACCGTATACAACCCCTATGCTCTGAAATGCCAAGCTCAGCGTCGTCCTCCAACTCAACTGATACAGTCCAATATCCAATTCATCACATCACACAGAATCTTAAATATTTGAGATGAGTATATACATATTATATATAACACATACTTTGAGGGGATTGTGTGCGACCATGGAAACTCTTCCAGCTTCTAAGTTGAGAGAATCTATGCGCCGTAGCTTTGCCCATGATACCTTTCGGTCTTTGAGCTTCCGGTTCTTCTCAGCCTCTGCGGTTGCACCAGCAGTCTCCTCCACCATCTCTTCCTCCGTGCTCTTCCTCCCGTCTGCTTCTCCTCCTGCTCCTCCTGGCATCTCCACTGGTCTTCTTCTTTTGATGTGAACGAAGTTGGAGGTGTTCAACTTGTGCTTCCTCTGCTTTGGTTTTATAGGCACACAAGTCAGATCTTGCTACCCCTCCCACTCGCAATATTATTTTATCATCAATAATTGCTCCATTTTTTTATCTCTAAACTGCGCCTCCCTCGCGACCTCTCCAGTTGACTTTTCAGCTTCCTCTGCCTTATGAAAACACTTTCTTCGTTTACTTCTATTTTCAATTACAATTATGCACTCCCAACCTCAACATTTTTTCATTCAATTCATTTCCTTCCTTTACTTATATTTTCCTGCATCACCATTGTGGAATAATGTCCCCTTGTTTCAGTTTATTAAGAATATGTCTACGTCACGGAATGACTTTATTTTTAATAAACTCATACTATAATCTTACAATTATTACTTAACTATGTTTTCAAAATTATTGTAAACTTAACATATTTAATTTATGGATATCATGCTGTGACAAAAGTGACACGATATAGTGTAAAAAACAAAAAACCAACAGTTGGAAGAAAAACATATTCTATTTAATAACCGACGACATGTGTTATAACTTTTTTTTTGTATGAAATGCGAAATATTTATTAAAGTTCAGCTTGTACGACCACTTGCCACCTTAATATATATCATTTTAATTATGCTTCACAAAGTATGTCAAAAATAATTTATTTAAAGTGGACATATATATATATATATATATATATATATATATATATATATATATATATATATATATATATATATATATGTGTGTGTGTGTATGTGAGAGATAATTGATAGTTTAGTGTATGTATACGAAATTAAAGAATTCATCAATTATTTTTTAAATTGAATTTTAAAATAATTAAAAATGTGTATTTTTATAAAGAAAAATATGAAATAAACGAAAAAATAATTGTACCTATATCAATATAACTAAGTCAAGAAAGATAACAACCTGAATCTCATATGAAAGAATAATAAAACATTTATTTATATCATTATTTCTAATTACTAAATCAACAACGATAGTATTATCATCACGGAAAATTGAAATCCACTATCCAATTACATAATAATAATAATAATAATAATAATAATAATAATAATAATAATAATAATAATAATAATAATAATAATAATAATATTATTATTATTATTATTATTATTATTATTATTATTATTATTATTATTATTATTATTATTATTATTATTATTATTATTATTATTATTATTACATTGTGAAAACCAATCATTGTTTTTATGATAGATGAATGTAGCCGTCTCAAACCTACTAAGTATTAATATAAAAATAATACTCAACAATAATAACACATATTTTTATCACTTCTAATTTTAAACAATGCACTCTCCTATCCCCAAATTTATAAAGCCAAATATCCACTCACATTATTTATTTTTTATAATTGTACCTATTTTTAACACATCATAATAACTTAGCTAAACTCTATTAATATTCAATTTCACATAACGAAGGTGTACGATAGGTCTAAATATTATTTATAACTTTATTTATCATTATGTTCATGCAATAACAATCAAATATATGATTCACTTAATAAAACCTCACACATAATATATGCAGTAAAAAGATTGTTATTTCGTTATTATCATAGCTTTAGAGGTTTGTCTAGACCTATATTGATTTCAAACAAATAAAGTGCTCATTAATTAAAAATAAACATCCATGTTGTTAAATAACTCATATCACTCTAATCTATAATCTTTTTTTTTTCGTGAATTAAGTTTCTTAAATGTGGAGATTGATCTCAACTTTAATAGAATTTTCATAATCACAAAGAGTTGAAAGACTTCTCACATATATTTTCTTTAACCTTAAGATTTCACACAAATTTATGATTTATGCTATAATCATTTTTTTAAATAAGGTTTACGCTATATAATCCATTTGTAAAATGAAGCTTATGGATAGATAGATACCATAGAGATTTCTCTTTCAAATCACAACATCATCTCAAAAAGGATAATGATAGTTGTTAATATATGGGTAATATTGATGTTGATAGTTGCATATAAATTTTTCTAATGTTTCAATTTTATTTTTTTAGTTTTAAACTTTTTTATGAAATAATTTTAAAAAATCTAACTTTAGATGATAGAAATGGGATAATAATGTGCCAAGTGTGAGAAAAAAAAAGGCAATAGAAGACAAAAAATGTACTAGATGGAAGTTTTGTTAACATTATAAAAAATGTTTGATGTTTTTTTAAGCACTTACAAAGTGCTCTGAGGTGCAACCTCAAGTAAGAAACCTCAAGATGTTAGTTTTAACTTATATTCATCCCTTGTCCTTATAATACTTTTTGAATTAATGTTTCAACATTTTAAATAAGATAGGTTTTATTATATTTTAAGATACATAAATAAACATAATAGAAGTATGACATCACCTTAATTGTGTTATTTTTATTTATAATTTGATGAGAAATATGTGAAGATATTGTATGATATTAATAATAAAACAATCCATTATAGAAATATAATAACAAAAATTAAATAGTAATACAAGATTTATAAATTAATAAAAAAATATGAATACCTTAAAATATTTTTTTATCAACTAAAATGAATTCAATATAAAATTTTATTTAAATGCGTCATTTTACATTTATCAACTATTTTAACATACAATGACTAAACAATGATATTTGAATAAAGTTGTTTAAGCATTTAAAATCATCCGTTAAACTTTTAACTTGTTAGTTTTTCAGAATTGACATTGAGACTAATTTGTTAAAAATAGTTTTTGAAATTTTAGCTAGTTTTGGAAATTTGACTTCTAAACTTTGTGTTAGAAAAAAGTTTTTTTCAATAAAATAATTATTTATTATAAATTTACTATGTTTGATAAATTTATTTAAAAAAAAAGAAGTGATTTGTTTATTTATATTTTAAATAACCTGATTGAAATGATTTCCCATAAAACAGATGCGGTAAAAAAAAGAAATAAAAAAATGAAAAATCATTTAATAATAAATATTTTTTTTAACAGTAATTTTGTTGTCTCATGTTTTTTTCTTTCTTTAAATAAAAGGAAGAAGAAGCTAAATATAAATTGAAGATAATATTGTATAATTAAATTAAAGTGTGTGCGATATTTTATTTGTTACAACCTTTCTGTGGGTGACGTGGGGGTGGCCCCAATTCGTATTATGAATTGTATTGAAAATAAGTAGTGTGTAGTTTAAAGGCAATATTATTGTTTAATAACGTATTAACGTGCACCAATACGGGAAGTACATATTTTTCGTTAAAATAGTGAAAAGTCAAGGGATTAAAATAAATGGAATTTGACGAAAATCACGCCAATTTGGTGCACCTACTCGTTTTATACGCGACGTTAAAAAGTTCTCCGTACTAACCAATAATATATATTTTTAACATAAAATGTTATTTGAATAATACTATAGTCAATTTATAACAATTTGTCTAATAATGCTTACTCTTTTTTAACAAATATATTATGATATAAATATTCTAAATAAATGGATACATAAAATTTTGAAGAAAAAAAAATAAAAATCGCAAAGTTTAGACCTCCGCGGTACTGGTGATTTAATTTGAAATGCAAGATTTTTCGGTGATGTCATTGTCATGAATTAACTATTATCTATGTAGTACAAAAGAAACAAGACTATTTATCACCTTTTAATTATAATTATAATAATAGTAAATATTATTATAATAAAAGTTGAATGCGCGCATGGTCGATGTCGTGGATAATTTTGCCTTGGTAAAGTCACAAAGTATTCAATCGCGCGTGGTAGTTCAAAATTAGCTCTATAAGCATAAAATTAGATGTAATTTTGAGTCTTTTAATTAGAATTTAAATATAATTATTAAGGAGAAAATCCAATTTTAATTGAATATATATAATACAAATAAGTTTTATTTAATTTAATTTTTTGATAGAAAAAATTTTCCCTTTTGATAATTTTGTAATATTATAGAGAAAATTTGAAGAAGAATAGATATAGAGAGAGGAGAGGAGTGAGCAGAGAGAAAGTGGCGGCAATGTGGTATGCGAGTCCCAATTCCAATGCAATTCTCGTGAGGAACAACGTTTTTGGAGGGATTGAGAATCTAGATGGATAGGTTAGGCCATACTTTGAATCTTCCACTGTATCTATCTTAGGATCTGTTGGAATATGCTGCATGGCACCCCACGTGTCCGCTTTTAAGACATCCCAAGTCTGGGAGCACGAGGAAGAAAACGAGGGAGAAACAAAATGTTGTGTCATCTTGTCGCACTCACCACTACACTTCTCCATTCCCGCCTTTTTGGACCACCCACTCTTCCCTTTCTATCTCTCCGAATCACAACACGCTGTTTATGATGTCATCAATCGATAACTTTCTAAAATCAAATTAATGATTCTTTTCTACCACTGTATATGTGCCTGCCATCATCACCGACCCCACTCTATAAGCCTAATTATAAAGTTTTAATTACATTTTAACGACAATCTCTTCCTATCCAAATCAAAACTAAAACGTAACGTTTCTTTCAAATTTTCCGATCATCTACTTCTATTTCTATTGCAGCGGTCAGTTATATATATCTATATATTATTATGCAAAAAGAGTGTATTTGATTTTGTTAAAATTATTATTAAATATTTTTAAAATTTATATATTTAAATTCATTAATTATTATTTTATGATAAATCTATATATAATTAAAAATATACAAATATATTACTTAGTAAATTATCTCCATTAATTTAAAATATTAAATCCACCATTAATTATAATTTATTATCACGTTAATAACATGACAAAAAGAACATATAACTACTGTAACATATAAATAAATTATTTTATCTTACAAAAAATATATATTAAATCATTTTTTATGTTCATGGTCACTTTCTCTCGTCTCTTTAACCTAAAATTGATGTCATTAAAGTTTTTTTGTTTTTTCTCTTTCAAAGTGTATAAGTTTGAATAAACTAAATATATAAAAATACTTAAAATTATTGCATGAAGAAACAATAGCATCAATATTTATGAAAAGTCATAAGTGTTTGTAAAATAATATTTCGCTAGAACTTAGTTGGTTAATTAGTGAAGAACTGAAGGTTATCATTGAGATAAATATATATGTTTGTCTTTTTGTTTTTAAACTGTAAAAACATTTAACGATACATTTTTTTTTACATTACCAACTCTATTATTTCAATTACACATTCTTAATATTTTATTTTGCATTTTTTTCTGTGTTTTTCACGGACGCAATTAGGAAAGAAAAAATATTCTCAATTGTCTCAAATTACTCATTTTTTACCATATATTTAATTTTGTAACTGTCTATATTTTTTATCTCATTCTCCAAACGAAACTGATATTTTTTAAAATTTATTAATGTTTTAAAAAATCCTTATATATCCTAATCTTAATTATTTATCGTAAATATAAATTTAATCTATATTTTATAATACTTCTTTATTATAATTTTGGTCATAGTATAATTTATAGTTTATATATTTAAAAATATATTTTTTAATTATATAAAAATAAATGTTTATCCCATCCCATGAAGTAGAAAAGTTAAAATATTTAGCTACAGATATAAAACAAATTTACTAATTTGTTCTAGTGAAGAATGGTAGGAAATGACTAAATTATGATATAAATGAGGAACTAAACAGTTTTCTTTTTTTTTTTTTTTCTTGTGGTTAAATGTGAATAATAGGGAGGAGGAGTAAAGTAAAGCATAGAGAAGCGCGCTTTGGGGTTGAACCGGGGCAAACGAAGAGCCAAAAGGCACAGTGGAGTGGAAGATCAATCCGATCCATAAATAGTAGCAACAGCAAGTGTTTTCGCAACACAATCCAAGTGCAATGGAACATCGTGGTCGTGGTCGTGGTCGCGGCCGTCGCTCTCCATCCACTCCACTGGTAATCCATGTTTGTTTGTTCTTGAAGGGAATTAGGTTATTATTATTATTATTTTTTAAAATGATTATTTTAGGGGTGGTACGATGTATTGTATTGTATTGAATGAAAATGGATGGTTGCGTGTAGGTTGTTGTTGGATATGAGCAGTGTGGGCGCGGTGGGGGCAGTGAGGAGAAGAAGCAACAGCAGAATGCAACACCTGTTTCTCATTCTGATTCTGATTCTGTTGGAATGGGAGTGGCAAAGTCAAATATTGGCGATGACATTGATAAGCCTTCCCCACCATCAGCAGCAGGAGGAGGAGGAGGGTTCGATATATGTCTCCCTAAACAACCTGGATGCGTGGTTCTGAAACCTCCTTTGCTTGTGAAAAACAGAGAGAGAAGACTGTCTGGTAATAGCAATAGTAATAGTAATAGTAAGAACAATAGCAATGTATCATTATTAAGGCCTGGAATGGTCCTTCTGAAGGGTTACCTTGCACCGAGCGTTCAGCAGAAGATAGTGGAAAAGTGCAGGGAGTTGGGGGTGGGCGAAGGAGGATTCTACCAGCCTGGGTACGAGGAAGGGACCAAAATGCGTTTGAAGATGATGTGCCTCGGAAAAAACTGGGATCCTCGCACCTCTCAATACGGAGACCGACGTCCATTCGACGGAGCCAGACCCCCCGACATTCCTCCCGAGTTTCATACATTGGTCAGCAATGCACTTCGTGATTCCAACGCCCACACACCTCATAATCCCCTTCCCTCCATCTCTTCTGACATCTGTATTGTCAATTTTTACTCCCAAACTGGTCGTCTGGGTCTTCATCAAGACAAGGATGAAAGTGAAGACTCTCTTCGCCGAGGCTTGCCCGTCGTCTCCTTCTCCATTGGAGACTCTGCACACTTCCTCTATGGAGATCACAGGGACCCCGACACGGCACAAAAACTGCTACTTGAATCTGGGGATGTTTTGATCTTTGGTGGCCCCGCTAGAAATGTATTCCATGGCGTTACTGATATTCTTCCAACCTCTGCCCCCAACTTCTTGCTCCAACACACTAATCTACGCCCTGGTCGCTTGAATCTCACTTTCAGACAGTACTAAATTAAATCCCATATATATATATATATATATATATATATATATACGCCTTTCTCTTGTCACTAATCTATGCTATCTATTTTCTATAGAAGCCTCATTTTGAATGAAACGATGCTCGTGATGCTATGATATGCTATTTTTAAACTATTTTATACTTCTAGTCCCTTTTTTATTTCCAAATGCTCTGTTCTTCACTATAGATGTGTTTATTTGTTACGTTGCTTGTCTTTCTATCATGGATCCGCTCTCTTATTACTGCAATTAATCCTTCGATTCATCATTTCGTCTACCACAAGCTGAGTTCTTTCTAGTCTTGATTTCCTTTAGAACCAAGTATTGTTTTACACTTTTACGGTTATTACATTTAGGCAAAATTAGCAATACTATCGACTCCACTTGAAAGCTTGTGCTCGTGTCTACCGCACTTGCATTTTACTTTTATATATTCGTTAAGAAAATCATGTAATAACTCAATTTTCGATGTTTCCAAGAGCCATAAACGGCTAGACTTTATTTTCTTCAAGACAAATTGAATTTAACATAAAGTCAGTACCTTATTGTTGGTTTTGGGTACAAATAGCATCGCAGATCAACATTGTACTCGACGGAGCAGTCCATGCTTCCATTATCAACGTGTGGCTCAATCACCTTAAATAATTTAACTAATAAATAGCATCAGAGTTACATTGTGATGAAGCAGTTTCTTGACATAGAATCAGGCTCGGTTCCCCAAAGCTAATGCAGCGGAATCAATATGTACAAGCAGACAAGAATAAACTTTTTGCTTCAATCTGTCAACAGTCTCCATCAACCCTTCAGTTTCTGTGTTGGAACTGCTTCTCAGTTTGTCAAGCCACTCATTTGCATGCTTAAGGTGGGACAATGTTAGAGCTATATTGTTGGCTTGCTCCATTTGTGTCCCTGCAATATCCTTACTATCCTTGCCCTTCTCACGGGAGCCAACAGAAAACCCAGCATCTAATGTCTTTTCCAAATACATTAGAAACCATGATCTTGTTTCATTTAAAAATATATCTCTCAGCTCTTTGATCTCTTTCATGCCATCCCATTTGGCCCATTCTTGTTTCTCGGTCCCTGATAGTTCGGTCAAAGGTTTTGGAGACTTCAACGTGCTTTTAGCAGGCATCAAACCTGTTTTCTTGCCCGATTTATGCTTTTCTACGGGAGGTGGAATTCTGTATAGGTGAAGTGATTCATTCAACTGAGTTGTACCATTTGGCTGGTCTATGAGCTGTTGGAGAGCAAAAAATTTTTTTAGTGTGACATGAGGGTTCTCTGAAGACGCAGTAGAGCAGATGTTGGCGAACATGCTGAAAATCAGAGATAAAGAGGTGACAAACTGATGGGTAGAAAATAAGCAAAAGAAATTATGCATACACTTGTCGCCTGAATTTAATAATGAACCGTTTGTTTATTATTCCTATCGTCTATGTAATAATGTGTGCTACCGTTTAGATTAAAATAGAGTAAATACCTGAGGCATTTAACTGTGGTTGTTGCTGCGGATGCTTCTTTTTGGGCTTCTACTACAACCTGAGAGGCTAGATGTTTCCTTCTAAGAATAACCTTGGGTAAAGTGAAAATAAAGTGGGAAAGGAGGAAATTAAGTTTATATGATTGCCAAGTATAGAATCATGTTAACACGCAAACATAAGTTCTGAGTTGAATTAAATATATTGTGTTTGTTCTCAGCCTAACAGATGTTCCAATGCATATTGTGGATTAATGACATGGACTTGTGATAGTACAAGAGTGAGAGAGAAATTTTTAATGCACCTTTCCGGGCTTGAGAAGCTTGGCTGGCAAAGCTGACCATGGAATTATCTCAGTTCTATTGCTTTTATCTTTAGAGCGAGACAACAAATTCATGTTCAAATTTTCCTGCTTAGTAGAAGTACTGTGTTTGGCAGAAAGGCGCTTAGAAGGTGCCGTGACAGTCTCCCAGATGTTGTTAGATTGAGCAACTTGATTTGGTGAAAGTGCTTCGAGTCGAGTGCCAGATTGAGTCATTGGGAGCACCTGTGATGCTAAACTCTGTCATTATCACCGCATTGTTTTCTTCATTAACAAAAAGATAAATTCAACTTAGACTTGCCATTGTTTCCTTTTTTAACAGAGTATTCCATTAGTATATATTTGTTTTCTTGTTTTTATATTCTGACAGTGAAATTGAACCATTTTCATCAATAGTGCATAAAAATATCGAACTGATTGTATCTAATAAATTCATTGAAATTCTTTACAACTTTCATTCGAGCCCAATCATATTTGTTTGTTGCTATATCACTCTTCCTAGCCACTCCATAGCTACATAATACATCCTTGAGCCTTTAAGAATCGGAATCCAAAGCAAGAATCATACCTGACCTTTGATCTCTACTTGCTTTCCTTTGGCAGATCCCACCTTTTTACCATCTACGCCAATTTCTAAATCATTTCCTTTGCTTCCTACACAAACATCTGGCCCGTTCACTTTTGGGTTCGGATTTAGAACACCCTGCATGTATCTGGATGCAACACCAAGCTTTTCCTCTTTAATAACAATCTTCTGCCTTAAACTTGGATTTTCTTTGGCTTCTGTTAAATCCGTGGATTTGGAACCATTAACTCCTTCATTATGAGGATGCTCTGATTGCTCTAACATCTGCATTAAGTCCTTAGGATTGCCTTCAAAAGGGTGACGTCCAGGCAGTGGTCTAACCCCAACAAGAATAGGGACAGGTGTTCCTGCCTCGATTCTATCCACATAAAAGAATTGCCCAAGCTGCAGCTTATTATTCAATATGAGCTCGTTGTCTTCCTTTGAGAGTGAGACATAGGTTGAATGAGAAGAGTCGGAGACTTTTATGAAGAAACCTTGGTTAGGCCATAATTCTGACCCAGATAATGCAGGAACGATGCTGATCACCTGCAGAAGGACTGAGCGATATTCCCCGCGAACTTTTACATTAGAGTTCATACTTTGGAGAAGCTTCAGAAGAACTCCAGGCACCAGGGATGCCATTCTTCTTCCCCTTGCAACTCAAATTGTAACTGTCATGCATTGTACTTATCAAGTGTTAGTAAAAATCCATGCCTCAAATATCGATCCTAAGCTGATATTTATTTTACATGGACAATGCCATGTGGGAAACTGAAAATTCAATCTTATCATGAGATCATTAGTGTACAACAAAAAGGTAAGAAGAAAAACAGCTTTCTATGTAGATAAAGTGAGAAAAAACAGTTACCAGAGGGAGGAGCATAAAGAACCAAGAGAAGTGAACGGGAGAAAAGTGGAAGAGGGAGGTGCTGTAATATGTAAGATATTATTCTTTCTGTTGCGTAGAGAGATGAGAAAGGTCTTGGCTTGGCTTCCAAAACAGAATGCCTTGCCTTGAATGCAGCACAGGAGGATAGGGCTTCCGCAATGGCTTGACAGAGAACATCTAAAGCTTTGCATGCAGGGCACGTAACCATCGAATTCTCTTGGCTTCAAAGCCAAGCCAGGGGACCATCATATACTTACCTACGCGTGACAAATGCACAACACATTCTGTCAGGCACAAAATGACAAATCAACCCCTTTGATTATAAAAGAAAAATAAGATGCTATGCGTATGCCTGACCCTGTTGTTAGCATATCAGTGGACATTATGGTCTTTACGCTGGTGGGGCTGAATCTGGTCCCATTTCATTTTTAAGTTAGAGGCAATGTAAACATTAAGAAAGGTAAGGATATTCCCATGTCAACATCTTGTGTGGCGTCACTCCAAGCCTTTTTCATATTTACTGCTATATTTGCGCAGGGCACCAAAGAAAACCAACTAGATTGAGAAATCTGCAACCCTGCTAAGATGATTCACAATGTAGGAGTGTGTACAGTCTCATATCGTGAACCCAAATGCAAATAACTACTGCCTACCTTCTAACATAATTAGTACGTACATATATAATTTATTGTTTATAAAAATAAATTATTATTATTATTATTATTTATCCTTATTTTTACTTCATTTTCTAATTTTCCAACCAAATATATTTCTCTTTCGTTTTTTAATTATTTTTCTTTTCTTTTCTATTTCCTCTCTCTCTCAAACAACCGTAATACTTTGTTTAATTGAAAGTAGCTAGAATTAAAAAAAGAAAATAAAAAGAGCAGAAGTAGATGAAAATATAGTTTTTATTTAAATTAAGAAAAATAAAAGAGAAATTGAGTACAGATATAAAAATTGTAAGATTCTTTGATTGGAATGGAAAAAAAAAGGAAATATAATTTGAGTTAAAAAAAAAACAGCGATTTTAAAAGAAAAAAAAAACGAAAAGAGAGGGAGGGATTGATGAGGGTTGAGAAGGTAAGAAAAGAGCACTCCGAATTTACATGAGTGAAGGAGATTCTCCAACTACAATTAATCAATCAAACTCATCCAACTTCTGCATTATCAACTTGACAACACAACGAAGAGAGCTAAAAAGGAATTGAATTGTCAACCCATGAATTATATGTATAACATGCCATCAACCCCTTAGACTTGACTACAGAGAGATACATGATGATCATGACCAACAGGGTGCTACCTCTTCCTCCTGCAATTCCTTCTTCTATTCCCCTTCCCTTCTTCATATCTTGAAGATGCTCCACCTGCCTTCGCATCATCAACAATAAAATGAACATTCAATACCATGATATCTATGAGTAGTAGTGACATGGCCACTTTTACTTACAAGTCATGTCAGTAGTATGTTTAATATCTAATGCAGATACATTTTACATACTCTTAACATTGCATTACCAACCCAAGAACCATTTTAGATGAAATCAAGCAAGAACAAGAACAAAGGGAAACACTTATACCTCAAAGTCAAAACACATACTCCTTGCTTTCTATCCTCATTTTTAATAGTAAATGTATTAACTCCATCGATGCATAATTTGCAATTGCATAGCTAGGTAGCTCAGAAACTTTTGGAGCAAATTTCAATGTTCAAGCAGTTATATCATCAAAAGTTACATCTGCTGTAAAATACATAGCACACTTACAGTGCTCATCTAACTTGCGGTTCCCCAATCGATTTCACCATTTATTTACTATACTATAGGCCCCGAAGGCAACACATGAAACTTGCATGCAATTCTAGGCCTAGGGAGTATTGAATACCACATTTGCATGCCTTCTCCACTTCAATTAAATGCATGCCATGAATTTCGTAGTATGAAATGAAAAATGTTGTATTTATATATACCAACCCCTAAACAGAAGTTCTGGTAGCTGGAATTGAGTTCAGATGTATTGTCTGTCTTCCCAAAATTAATTGCAGTCATGATGGACACAGATGAAGCAGGTGCAGTGTGAGAGGAGCTGCCGACTGACCCAATATTGGCTTGAAACATTTCTTCGAAGAGCTGTTGCAACTCCTCAAAACTCTCCTCCCTGTTTTCCTGTCATGTCACATCACAAACCAGTGTCATCATTTTTTAATTGGCCAATTTGTTATAAACAAATTATAGATGCATGCATGCATACTGATGCTGTTGCTGTTTAAGACCAGACAGCATAATTAACACCCACATCAAGGGCAGCCTTGTACTTGACGTTGTATGCGTACGATACGGAAATCTCACAAAATTCGGAAACCTGGTGAAAAGGACGACTTTCACTTTCAAACACCCAATTCAGCATGCAGTGCATTCAGCAACAATACTAATACCAATACATACGTACCATACCATACCGTACCATACATGTGACTAGTTTCTCCTCATAGTCACAAATGGTGAGCTCATATCTATCAGATGATTTCATCTTAGCCATTTAGGCCCACCACACCTAGTGCTTATGTTTGTTTCAGTTTGTTTATCACATTACATCCATGCAATGCAGAGCAATATCTACCTTTAACTCCTTTCCATTCTTACTTAATTTCTGATTTAGAATAATAGCGCATGAAACTTCACCAATAGCCTTCTCAAAATTCTTCTACATTTTTAGCCAATTAAAAACGGACCCTGACAGCTCATTATGAATCTAAGTGAATTCAACCATAATCATTCCCTCACAACAGTTAAAAATAAACCCCAAAGGAATATCACTCGTCAAACAACAGAAAAAGTTGTAGCAAGAACGTAGTATTTGACAAACAAAGCCAACAGTCTAGCTTTATCCATATAATAATAATAATAATAATAATAATAATAATAATAATAATAGCAAAAAAAGATTGAAATGTTTTCATTGGAACTTTTCGTCCAGCTATGTGTTGAGAAAGATTGGAATGAATTAAATTGAGATCTCTTACACTAGGTTTTGATTGGCTCATCATTGTGGCCATTTCATTCAAGAAGTCACCCATACCCTGCTCAAACAAACATACCATTAGCTCATCACGAATAAGAACAATCCTCAGAACGAAACCACCACCAAATTTTGATTCTGTTAATTATTTATATCCCTTATAGGAGATCCTGGTATGGACTTGATCCACTGGTTGGTTGGGTTGGGTGTAGATCACAAGACAAGACAAGTAGTGATATGCAAATTTAACTTAACAATGTTTGTGCCTTTGTGGCTCCCTACGATAGAATCAAGCATTTCCATATAAAGATGAAAAAATCAAAAGAAGATTCTAACTGGTCTCACATATGGTACCTGTTTTCCAAGGAAGAAGAAAAATGGACAGTGCAAAGCCCAGAAACAGGACAAGACTGCTACCGACGACAGGACACCAGGCCACAGCAACAACAAATCCATTTTAAAAAAAAAAAAAGGAAGAACAAAAAGGAGAAATACGAAACTGAGAATGTCTACACCAGGCAGGAAAAAGGTGAAAGTAGGAGAAGGAGAAGGAGCAGTGATATTATAGCAAGTTTATTTATTTAGTTTGTAGAAGAGAAGGGGAGGGAGAGTGAGTAGATACGGTTTGGTCGTCATCGCTGTCATAGACTCCTACGTCGTACAATAACCTTTTGTTTGCGTCAGATAAGACTGCACAAAAACAGAGTGAAACTAAATAACGATGGAATGAAAGAGAAGAAGGTGAGATAAGGATGGATATGAATTGAAGGAGATTTTAGCCACCAGAATAGGCGTATTGGATTGCCTGGAATTTCTTCTTGCCTTCTTCCACGCGGCTCCCTGAACAACGATCTGGGTGCCATTTCTATGCCATCAAACAAGATAAATTCCTTGCTTATTATTTCGTGCCACAAGAACAAGAATCACTAAATATGAAAATGAAATGTGCCAATTCATTCATTCTAACCAGTGCGAGTTTCTTATAAGCTTTCTTGAGTTCAGATGGGGTACACTCCTTCTCTATCCCCAGAACCTCGTACAACTCCTCACTGCATTTCTCTCCTCCCTTCTCCATTTATTCATTCAAAAACCCACCTTTCTTCACTCAACTCATCTTATCAAATCAAACCAAAACCCAATATTTTTTCGTTCATTATTGTTAGTATTTTAAGGCATGTAGGGAGCAAGGAACCTTTTAATATTTCTACTCGGAGGCAAGAGGGAAAAAGCAAAACCAAAACAAAACAGTTCTCCCACCTCAAGAACTCTCCAGAAGAAGCACCCTCCTTATATAGTTGCTTTTTTTTTTACTAAGGTTACAACGTGTACCATGTTTCGATCTTTTTAATAATTGACTGATTGATCGATTACTGTTTGATGTACGGCTGAGATTGAAGGGCAATGCATACATTTGGTTGGAATGTGTCTAGAAGGTTCGGTTACATACAAAATAATTTGTACGAGTAAAATACCTCATCTTGGATAACAATTTGTGTGCCAACTATGTAATCATTTTTTAGAACTTGGTTCAGATTTTCAATTATCTTATATTCTTAAGGTTATCAACCATCCATTTTACCATTTTTTTTTATCATTTCTCAATTTTATTAATTTTCTTAATAATACTTTATTGAATTGACCTGTAGCCACTAAAACAAGTGGCAGTCATCATACATTCATATCACCAATAGAGGCATCAACTGATACATGGTCACCCCCCCCACCCCCACCCACACACACACACACACTCTCAAGAACCAATACTCCTATCATCTTTAAACCTGTCAAATCAACCACAAAAACTTGAATCAATCACTTGAGGATTCACTCCTGCTTTGAACACAATACTGGCATTACAACAACTAGAAAACAAAAATGATACAACAAAAATAGTTTCACAGATAAAAATTTGCAGTTTGAATAAGCAAGCTATGGTTGTAACGCCTTTCCTACTTCTTTATTATATCTTTGAAAGTTAAAAACCTTTCTTCCCATAATTGCCGATATCTTGGTAATGCATAAAACAAAAGTTTCTGGAGTTGTAGTCCTTACTCATCATTACTTAATTCATGTATGAACCTCCCACCCAGTGGCATAACCATGATACGCTTCTAATAAAGGGGTTCTTCCCCATTTTTCCAAAATTCAACACTTTGGCTTTAATCGTGATTTTAGTGAAGAGGCCAAAATAGTGAAGCAAAACTGAATTTTGAAATCATTAATTTACAGAAAAATAGCCTCATATATGACAAGCATGGTAATCAAAGTCTGGCACTACCTTTCAAGCACTTCATCTTCACAAGAATTTCCTGAAGAAGAAAGCCCATCCACATCAAAGGACATTGCCATTGGAGCAGCCACACGAATCTCCATGTTCATTGTAACAAATATGAGCATTGTTATGGCATTGGTCCTTGACTATTATTCCCCTATATATTATTTCACTAATAATAATATCAACTTCAGCGATGGATGAAAGAGAGAGACTTTTTGATAGATACAATACAAGAACAAGAAACAATGAAGACGATCGAAAGGAAAAGACTTAAGTGCTTATTAGTTATTAAACAGTTTAATAAGATTTATGTGAACATAACATGGATGGATTATTATAGTTGAAACAGTGATTTGAGATTGTATGGGCCTATGATAGTGTGATTTCCAGTCCAGAGAAGCTGGGAAACAATGTGATTAACAATTTGGGTGGGATGAACCGAGTCAAAGAAGACATATTGGTTAGGATTCTGACATACGTCGTAATCTCTCACTGCTCTTTTACCCCCGCAGCTGTAATATCCTCTGTGAGGCCCGCTCCCACAGCATGCCATGTCCCCTTCTTTCAACCCTTCACACCAAGATTCAATCACTTCAGCCAACGCACCAAAATCATATTATACGTGTAAATATAAACACTAATTACCTACCATATTTTGAAGGATTGTTTATAATATCATAAGATATGTGAAAGTAATCCACGTATGAATATTTAAATCCTTTTAGTTCTTTCTTTAGCTTGTCAAGTTCCACATAAAGCACACTGTTATGTAGTTTGGCCTGTGCTGAAGCTTCTTCCACGCAACCTTTTGATCCATTTACTAGAGCCTTCACGAATGGAATACAACCCACAGCTGGCAGGTTAAGAACCCCAAATTTCCTCCCTCCTGCCTCGTGTATCCCCTAATCAATGCAATGTTCCAGGTTACGAAGTTAGAATTATTGATTATATACAGCAGAAGTAAGAAGCTTTTACATACCTTGATCACTGATGTAAGATTACCAACTACCATTTCTACATATTTCTCAGCCGTGTGTGAATTACTCGAATTTTCTGACAAAGAGATTGCATAATCATTGACTCCAATGTTAATCAAGTAAACAGCTTTGGCAAGCAGAGCTGTGGTTTCTGCATTTCCAAGTTCCTGCTTCAATTCCCTGCTGACTTTCCTGAAATAACTTAGCTGAGTTTTTAGATCTATCACCTGCAATAAACACTATCAAATCAAAATAGATGGCATGGACTTGTGGGTAAAATATTGAAGTCAATTAATGACTAGGTCAAAAGGGTACAGCTAGCATTCAATTTCATCAACAACTAATCAGTTAACAATAAGATATAACAGACCAGTCCTTGATGGGTTTCAACCAAAGCCCCAGCTCCAGCTGATGCAAAATTGACTCCATCAACGTATCGTTGATTACCAGGGAATAGATAGGGTGGGATTAGAGGCAACTTAGCATACTCAGCTGCAATAACAAAGTTTTCATATTATATACTATTGTATTGTAGGTATACGTATAAACAGTAAGGTATTGCCTGATCTTAATTAACTAAACTCACAAAACTAAAATTGGTATATACCTATGAAATCTGGAAGGACGCGACCATCAGAAAATCTTCCAGTTGGATAGTTGAAGAAGGTTTCCCCATATGGAGAGTAATTTGCCTGATTATCAGCACTAGTGTTTATGTAATTGTTGTTTCCAACATCAAATAATGAATCTCCAAATACAAATAATGCAGCGTGATCTTTTGGCTTGCATATATCACCAAGGCTTAGGCACCAAGTTACGCCATAGCTTACAAAAAAAATTATATAACAGAAACTGAACGTTGAACTTGCCATATGAGTTTCACTTCAATTTTCTCCTGATCTCAATAGTATGCAACTTGTGTTTATATAGGCTACTTTGACTTCATGCAGAATGAAAACTAAATTTCCTGCATAATTTTAATAAATAATTTGAATGTTGAAAATGTATATTTTTTATTTTTTTTACTTTTTTTTAATATATATAAAATGGTCCTTCCTTAAGGCTTAAGAATACAGACAAGTCTACCAATTGTATATTAACATGAACAAACGATTGATCGAGTTTATAGATTTTTTTCTCTCTTCTTTGATTGGTAAAATTTTGAAAGATTTTGTTTCTATTTATTTTAATTTATGATGACATCAATTATTACTTGTAATTATACTCTTACTTTTCACATAATATTTAATTAATTTACGTACATAATGTTATTGTGATATGGAAATAAAAAGAGATAAAATAAAAAATTTCAAGATTCAGATAAATAGCTTCGTAATCTAATTGATAAATAAAATCGTGTTGCATAAAAAAAATTAAACCATAAAAGATAATAATAAAATTGATTTTTATTTTGTTAGATTATAAACTACACTAATTAAACCTGAATAGACTCAAAATTCTAACCTCTTCAGAACATAAAATTACCTCGTCAGCATGCTTGATTTTTTGTCAAAAGATTTTAAAATTTTTAAAAATAGTGTTTTCTCCCAATTCAAAGGTTGCTGATCATGCATTTAGTGTCCTCCATCTTTTTAATCAAAAAATTATCGCATTAGAATGCTTCCAACAACAACACAAAAATATGATAATAATCAGTTTAAAATCAACGGAGAATCAGTCTGGATTGATATTTTATTCCTTATTTAATTATAAATAATAAATTCTTAGTCAAAAATAACTTTTATGTTAAGTTATGAAGTCCCACATGATTCATATTGTTAATTTTTTTTCATCTTAATATTGTTAATAAGGATCACAAGACCTAAAGTTTAATTTTTTTTTCATCTTAGTATTGATAATAAGAATCACGAAGACTTTAATATTGAAAATAAAAATTATGAAGAGCTTATTATAGGATTTTTTTTTATATATATAATGTATAACTTATGGTATCATTATATACTATGTGGTAGTATTCGAGATTATATATATATATATATATATATATATATATATATATATATATATATATATATATATATATATATGTTTGTAAAATTTCATCATGATCATCTTAATTCAGGAATACTCTTAATTCTTTTAAAATTGTTTCAAAACTGAAAAAAAAATATAATCAATTATGTTAAGATATAATTAATTATAATGAGCTAATCACATAGGGTATTAGAGTAATTTAGTGTGACGTGTTCTAATTTGAAACTAGCTTGTAATAATGTGCTGCCATGGGGTTTTCATGTAGATGAGTCGTAAGTTGAATGTACGAAAAACCAAAGTAAATCTATTAAAAAAGTAATAATTCAGATTCGATTAGAGATTGAACCTCTTTAATCAAAGCTAGTTCAGTTTTGCTTGAATTGGTTTCGAAACTAATTTAAAAAAAAAATTGGTTGAAAAAATATTTTGAAACCAGCTTGTAATGATCGTAACATTACTATTCACGTCATGTTGGACTTGTACGCAATGGACTCTTGATTGAGTTGGAGCACGGAAGAACTTTGGTTCGGTAAACTTCTCCATCTCTTCCATACCAACCTGACACAAAATATTCAACATAATTAAATAAAGTGTTTATCATTGTTTTCTAATTCTAACATTAACAAGTTTTTCTGAGCTTTCTAGTCCCTATAAAAAATTCTGGCCATGTTTAATTTCTCATTTGTTTTCATTGCTGTTTAGTTAAAGTGATTTACCAAAATGCAGTTCAATATGCTGTGAATTGGTATGTTTCTTTTCCTATTTTTGTCACCTGTCTGTGCACTGTGCAATGAATGTTGACTTAACCAAAACACACAAACATGGCAATTGGACTCTCCTACTTCTTCTGCTTGGACACGCGTGTGTGCTTCCACACAATATACACAGCTGATTCTGTAACTTACTTGAACGCTTAGATTTCATCAGTATTTTTTTTTTTTTTCATCCTTCAAATTTTCTCTTAGGAGGATAATCGTAGAGAAACAACTGAGTTCAAAATATCACCAGCCAAGACTGTTTCCCAGATCATATTAGAATCACTCTGCAACATCAATCGAGATTCCCTAAAGCTAAAAACTAAGGTCTTTGACAAGGCAAAGGACACCTAAATGACTATATAGTCCCATAATTTAGAAACAAGAGAATAATAATTTTCACACATGCTTCAGCAATTAATTGTTTTGAACTCCATCTTCAAAAGAGATGACAACCATTCCAGAAAGCAACAAAAATGGAAATAACATTTTTTCAGACACATACAGGGATGTGTACTTTGAAGAAATAAAAGCAACAAAAACACAATAAAATTAATTATCTAGGAAGGAAAATGAAAAACAATGTTTAGCTTTATTTACTTACATACACAGGGAGGAGGCCAACAAAAAGCTGCTTAGAAAACTCCGCCAGCCATTTTAGTAATGTCATCAAAGCTCCAAAAGTTCATCAGGTTTCCACCATCCTGGGTTGTGTTACAAGATAGCAAAGATTCCAATGAAGTATCATCCCACCCTTCAAGATAAGGCATCTGAAAGAAGTTCAACTCAGATTCAATATCCACAAGCTCCTCAGACAGTGTCTTGGCAGAATCATCTTGCATAGATACCACATCCTGAGAGTTAGTCTGCTGGTTGGCATCCTGTATTATATGAGAATCACAATCCAAAGGAGCAGAAAGCATGGATGAGATCTCAGGAGTTTTAGGGGCCTGTTCACCCCACCCAAGATCAGAATAATCAAATGAATTACTTCCCTGATCGGAACTGAAGAAAAGGGTCACATCATCAGACGAAGGAAGGGAACTGAGCCCATTTCCACTGCCAGGGAAGGACCCCATGTTAGCAAACTGGTTAAGTAGTGGTTTCTGTTCCACCAGATCCATAGGACAACAAAGGTCCTTCTGATTGTTACCAGCATTGAACTTGTGGACATTGGATTGAACAGTCTTGTGCTTTCCCTGTGGATTTAGGTCAGAACGTTTCACAGAAGCTTCCTCAGGGAAATTCACCTTGGCTTTCTTGCCACGAATCTTCCGCGCTTCGGCATCATAAGCTCTTGCAGCTTCTTCAGCAGTGTTGAAGGTTCCAAGCCAGACACGAACGCCCTTTCTTGGATCCCTGATCTCAGCCGCCCATTTTCCCCAAGGACGTTGACGAATTCCCCTATATTGATTCTTCCTCTTTCTCTTTGCAGACTTCTCAGCTCGACCTTTGAATGCCACAGAATTCACTGCCGAAGGTCCTTTAATATTATTGACAAAGTATACAATGCATTTCACGGAGAGGAATACAGACATTCAGAACCAATAAACGAAAAAGAACAACAATAATATAATAGCAAAAACACGGATCATATAATCAATTTTTCAATTCTCCCCAAAACCCTTTGAGGATATTAGAACTCTCATCAATAACCCAAAAACACGGATTATATAACCAATTTTCTAATTCTCCCAAAAACCCTTTAGATGTTTAGTTTTTAATGAAGGTTGGATTACCACCCACTACATACTGAGAAAGTGCGGTTGCAGTGGCGTGTCATCAAGAAACAGAACAGCTTGTAATAACCACAAATCAACACGACGAAATAAAACATCTATCAATTAAAACAGAATCCATAAAGTCATCCTCGAATTAAAATCAGTCGAAAGTGAACTCTTGCATGGAAAATGGATAAACATACACTCCTAAAGAAGAAGCATTTGTCAGAAAAACAAATCATTCCAGAAAACAACCCAGGATCTGTAACGAATCAAGGAGATTCTTGCAGATCTAGAAATTGAAGTTCCCTGTTGTCAATTCCATAAGCGAAAACCACAAATTAAATTTATTTTAAAGTTGATGGTAAAAAAAAAAATCATATCACATGGTGACCAACAAAATTGATTTCCAGTGCATGAATGAAAAAACGTTCCGACAATTAATAATAAAAATAGAAGAGAGTAAAAACTGATAATTTGAATTGAGAAACAAAAGATGAATTGTGAAGAAGAGAGAGAAGTTACGAGGAGAAGAGGCGGAGAAAGAAAAGGGTTTGACTTGGTGGTCGTCGTCGATGTCGGAGTCGTCCTTGAATTCCCTAAAATCAGCCTCGAAGTCATCGTCCAAGTGGATGACCTCTGACGTCTGCTTCTTCAAATCCGGCCATAGGTAATCGGCGGTGAGCCGGCGAGACTTAGCCGCGACCGCCGCCGGAATGAAGTCAGAGATAATAGCTCCTCCACACATCTCTCTGATGAAACACACGACACAGCTCTGAATGAATTATGAACAAAAGACTTTGTTTTGGTTGAACGCTGCAAATGGTGGCTTCTCCTTTTCTATTCAACGTTTTCAAAGTTTGCCTACAAAATCGTTATTTATTACTCCCACATTTTTTTTTTTATACTCAGGTTTTTACACAGTAACTATGGTTTTGGCACGAGGATTAAGTGATAAAATTTAGATACGAAACTTTATTTTAGTCCTGCAATATTATTAATAACTTGTTTTTTTTTTCATATTAGTTTTTTAATTAATTTTCACAATTTAAATATAATTTTATGTTTATAAAAATTTATTGGTCACGCTGAATTTAGAGATCATAATAAAGAAATTAATTTTAGTTTATGTAAAATTTAGTTTAATTTAATTTTTTCTTCTTCTTTTTCTAACAAATAGGTATGGAAAATTTTACTCAAAGGATTGCGACATTTTAGATAATGTATTGGATCAAGATTTTAGAAATATTTTAAAATACTTTTTTTTATATAAACAAAATATATATATATTCATTCAAAACCATAAAACATTGAAAAAAAAAGTCATTCATATTCAATTATGGTATTTTCTAAGAAGACAAGAGAATATAGTGTATTCAAATAAGATTTTTTTATAGTATATAAAAGGTTATTGAAATTTAAAAAAAAAACTATTTTTTTTAAATTAATGAATTTCGCTTAAGTTTCTAATATAATGTATAAATATTAGATTCATCAACATAATTTCACTTTATACATATTCTTAAAACTTTTCATATTTTTTTCAAGTGAGAGTTGGGGAATCTTCATTTTATATTATTTTTTTCACTCTCAGGTGTCATTGTTAGAAATTATCATATTTGATTGATTTTTTTATATAAAAATTATAAGAAATAATTTTCCTAGCGAGAAAATAACTAAAATGTGAATACGGACATCAATGTACTTGTAACTTTCTTCACAATTACGCTTTGTTTGGTTGGAGTGATTTGAGAGAGTGGAAATGAGAGTGTGAAAAGGGAAGAATTTGAAGAAAAATAGAGGTGAAATTAAAGTTGTTTGGATGAATGAAAAGTCAAAGAAAAGTTTATGGAAAATTGTGAATGATTTGATTGATATGAGATATAAAAATTATAATTTTAATTGATTATTTAAGAAAATTACCATTTTACCCTTGTGTATAAAATAAGGTTCAAATTATTATAAATATAATTTTTTAATTAATTATCCATATTTTAACATTGATTATATATTTAAAAGAAAAAACAAATTTAAAAGTGTTTGTAATTGGAAACAAATTTAAAAAATTAACTTTTTTTAAATAGTTATTAAAAATTATATAAATAAACAATTACAAAATTATGTACATTGCATATCCATAAAAAAATAATTTTGACATAATAAATAAATTATTTGACTAATAATTAAATAATTATAAAATATAAAATAATAATTAATATTGACTAATAATAAGAAATCATTATGAAAACTAATAATATAATTGTAAATTATTATTTTATGTAAAATCTCATTTATTAACAGTATATTTTTATGTAAAATTATATATATATATATATATATATATATATATATTTTTTTAAATATAATTTATATTAATTACTATAATATAAAATATATATTGCAAATATAACTTATTTTCATATATATATATATATATATATATATATATATATATATATATCATAGAAATTAAAATAAATTATATTTTAGAATATATAAATTTTCAAATGATCGATTACTTTTCCAAATGATCGATCACTTTTTCAAATAACCGCTCTTAGAAGTGAACCTATGATAGCGGTTCCACGTTAACCGCTATCTAAAGTATCATTTATTAACAGTATATTTTTCATCAAATTATATATATATATATATATATATATATATATATATATTCTAAAATATAATTTATATTAATTACTATAATATAAAATATATATTGCAAATATAACTTATTTTCATTTATATATATTATAGAAATTAAAATAATTATATTTTAGAATATATAATTTTTCAAATGATCGATTACTTTTTCAAATGATCGATCACTTTTTCAAATAATCGAGACTTGAGATAGCGGTTAACATGGAACCGCTATCATATGTTCACTTTTAAGAGCGGTTAAGATGTTAACCGCTCTTAAAAGTGAACATATGATAGCGGTTCATGTTAACCGCTATCTAAAGCCTCATTTATTAACAAGTATATTTTTATGTAAAATTATATATATATATATATATATTCTAAAATATAATTTATATTAATTACTATAATATAAAATATATATTGCAAATATAACTTATTTTCATTTATATATATATTATATAAATTAAAATAAATTATATTTTAGAATATATAATTTTTCAAATGATCGATTACATTTCCAAATGATCGATCACTCTTTCAAATAATCGAGACTTTAGATAGCGGTTAACATGGAACAGTTATCATATTTTCACTTTTAAGAGCGGTTAAGATGTTAACCGCTCTTAAAAGTGAACCTATGATAGCGGTTCCATGTTAACCGCTATCTAAAGCCTCATTTATTAACAATATATTTTTATGTAAAATTATATATATATATTCTAAAATATAATTTATATTAATTACTATAATATAAAATATATATTGCAAATATAACTTATTTTCATTTATATATATATTATAGAAATTAAAATAAATTATATTTTAGAATATATAATTTTTCAAATGATCGATCACTTTTTCAAATAATCGAGACTTTAGATAGCGGTTAACTTGGAATCGCTATCATATGTTCACTTTTAAGAGCGGTTAACATCTTAACCGCTCTTAAAAGTGAACTTATGATAGCGGTTTCACGTTAACCGCTATCTAAAGTCTCGATTATTTGAATATATTTTTATGTAAAATTATATATATATTAATGAAAATAAGTTATATTTTGGAATATATATTTTATATTATAGTAATTAATATAAATTATATTTTAGAATATATATATATATTTAAAGGAGGCACTGTGTGTGGTTTTCATACACTCGTGTCTTCACATGGAGGAGATGGAGAAGGATAAATACGTAAATTATCATTTGATGATGTGTGTTTCTCTACATATCTCTTTGTTTAAGCGAGTGACCTTTTCTCCCACTCTCCCTCAAATCATCGCTCGCATATCCTCTCATATCAGTTGAAACAAACGAATAGCATACTCGTTTTTCTATCTTTTTGAACAATAAATCACTCCAACCAAACACAGTATTAATGTTCTTATGATGAATTTATAGTTGAGTTACAATAGGTGAATCTTCATCTTCAATAATACTAAATAGCAAAAAAAAACAACAACAACAATAACAATAATGTTAATTATGTTGTTGAAACCCAATAGCATGAACGAAAAACTACTAATGCATAAAAAACTGGTATAAGAGGATAAGAACTTAGGATCAATTAAAATATCAGAATATTTAAAATTTTGCACTTGTTTTATTTTTTTAATCAAAACCTTATCAAGTTTAATGTTTTTGATTATTTTTAAAAAAATTCTAAAAGTTCTTTCGAATCCTTCTAAATTTATAAAGTAATTTCAAATCTTTTTAATTCTAACAATATAAACTAATTAAAAAAAAGTTGTTTAAAAATATCTTATGAATCATAACATTTTTAATGTAGACTCTTTAAAACCTGCATGACTTTCTTAAATGTTAAAATAGTCGTTTGAGTTTGTAATAACCTTTAATAATAATGATATAATAATAATAATAATATCCAACAACTAAATTATATTTCTAATGATGTTTTAGGTAAATGTGAAATATGAAACTATCTTTAAAAACTTTATTTTGATTTTTTTGCATTCACATACACTTTAGATAGTCATGCTTAAAATTAATATTTTGAAATTCATAAAAACTAATTATATAACATTTTAGATGAAATGCTCTATGGTCCTAAAAATATATATCGATTTCAAGTTGGTATTTGAATGTTAACAACAATTTTTTTTTGTCTTCTATTTTAGCCCAATTGGGCCCATATTGTCCAAAGGTTAAGATTTTTCTTGCTTAGATTAGATGAAAACCAAATAGGAAATAGCAAAACGAACGACTAAGACAAATAAAAAATTATTTTTTTAATAAAACATTATTAGATTTCCTGAAAAATTATGAGGAAAGAACAATATTTTATAAATAAAATGAACCAGATGTAATAATTTGGGTTTTGCTTAACCATGCATGGAGTAGAAGTAAGTTGACTCAGTGGACCGTTCTGAGAATTTTCATGTGTCATGATGGTAGAGTGGTAATCTTTCAAGTAGAGTATAAACACTTGCTCAGTTAATTTGATAGAGTAAATAATTTTATTTACATATATTTACACTCAATGTGCATCTAATTAGTATTCAACATTTGACAGGAATGATGTTTGGAGATCAAAACACAATAATCATGGACTCATCTAACTAAATAACCTAGATTTTGAGTGTTCCTGTACTTTTGACCAAGAAAATACAAAGATAATAGTAACTAGGCATAACGTGGGAAACTTAATTTGTTAATTTTTTGTATGATAAGAAAGAAAAAATTGTCCCGTGATGCTACTTCCTTAAAGTAAATTGATTCTGGTTATTATAATGCAGACAGAACAAAAAGAAGTGTTAATAAGAATTTGTTTTGTTTGTCATTATGAGGGAGTGAATGTGTTGGTTCACCATCTGATAAGCTTGGCCTACAAAGATTCACATGCATGAAAGATTACCTTGTGTGTGCACATGTGCTCTTTGACTAAGCAAAGAAAAGGAACCTACTGAAAGCATTCAACAAAAATTGCTACAAAAATGGTGTCTGTGCACACCATTCTCTACACACTGTCATTCATTAATTCATTCTTAATTTTACAACATGAAAGAAGGATATATTAGAAACATATTATTATATAGAGGACAAGTAATTTAAGAATAACACAGGGAAAAAGTGCAAAACTTATACACCCAGCCCAACCCAAACCGGGAACTAACTATCTAACAGTTTTAGTTTTCGATCAGAGATCAGAGATCAGAGAGGTTGGTGCAGGGAGACAACCAAGGGACTGGTGATAGTGTGCTTGCCATCAGACCAAACTATGGAACCAGTCTTAACAGAAGAACTCCCGGGGGAAAGCTTCACTTGCCTCGTTTGGACCCTAACAAGGAAGTTCAGTTTCTGACCCAACCTCCTGAAAGCTAGCGTGTCCGGTTCCACCGTGACCTTGGTGTCCGCAGGGGTTGCAACAGTGACCCTGTAAACCGAGTTGGGGTCTCCAACATTGGTGACAGTTCTAATGAAGTGTGTGGACATGAGTATGCCTTGTTGCTTCCCATACTGTTCAAAGAGGGCAGATAAAGAAGGGTAATTGAGATTGGCGGCGTGGCCAGCCCTCTTTGCCCCACTGCAGTCTGCACCCTTTCTGGTGATGACTCGGATATCATGAGCGCTGTAGTTGGAATTGCAGAGGAAATCGACATAATCGTAGGTAGAGATGTCATAAACGAGGCCAGGGTTGATGGCCTTCTCCGGATGAACATGGCCAGCCCCATAATCAAACACGGAAGAGACATTCCCAGTGGACTCATCCAACAAAGTGCCTCCTACTCTTCCTCCTCCACCTCCTCCTCCTCCTCCTCCACCATTGTCCACAGTGTAAGCAGTAGTGATGAGGGCAGATCTGATGGCGGCGGGACTCCAATCGGGATGCGCCGCTTTCAAAAGAGCAGCCAAACCAGAGACGTGCGGGCAGGCCATTGAAGTGCCGGAGAGTATGTTGAAGTCAGTCCTGCGGGGATCAGAAGGAAGGGAAGAAGGGGGAACAGTAGAAGGCCAAGCCGCAAGAATGTTCAATCCGGGAGCAATCACGTCGGGCTTCAGAATCTCAGGGGAGACCGGATTAGGCCCTCTGGCAGAGAAAGATGCCACTTTTGGCGCCGGCTTAACCCCAAGCCTTGTGCCCTTGAATACGATGGTTGCGGTGGGGGGAGACCGTAACTGTGAGGCGAAAGAGATGTATCTGCGAATGTGGTCGGCGCCAGCGGCACCGACGGAGGTAGCGGGGAGAACATGGCAGTCAGCGACGAGACCTTCTCCGTCGAAGGGACCATTGGTCAAAATCATGGCAACTCCTCCGGCTTTCTTCACGACTTGGCCTTTGGCAGCTCTTGAATTGACTCCTCTGTCACAGACAACGATCTTGCCTCTCACAGACTTGGAGTCCAACGAATCTTCCAAGCAGAGAGAGGAAGAGTAACCGTCAGAACCCGCATACACCAGCTGGTACAGCCGACCCGGACTCAGACCCGGCCCACCGTACACACTCACCCCATCAATCACCTTCCCATTCCCCAGAATAACATCTGCAGGGAAATCTCTGTCTATGGTTCCCGCCCCGACAGTCGTCATCCACGGTGCCACATTCGTCACCGTCAGCCCGCCGGGACCACCGTTCCCCGCCGAGGCTGACACGAACACGCCAGCCTCGGATGCCCCGAAGGCCCCCACAGCAATGACGTCCAGGTGGTAGGGCACCACCACGCCACCGACGCTCAAGGATACCACGTCCACGCCGTCGGCCACGGCCGCGTCGAATGCGGCGAGGATGTCGGAGTCGTAGCAGCCGGCGTTCCAGCAGACCTTGTAGACGGCGAGGCGAGCCTTGGGAGCCATGCCGGCGGCCATTCCCTTGGCGTAGCCCATGGTGGAGGCCGGGAAGACGTACCTGCCGGCGGCGATGGAAGCGGTGTGGGTGCCGTGACCGTCGGAGTCTCTGGGAGAACGGTACTCGAGTGTTTCGTTCATTTTGCCGTTGGTGGCTTCGTAGCCGGCGCAGAAGTAGCGGGCTCCGATGAGCTTGCGATTGCATGAGGTGGGGGGGAAGGTTTTTCCGGCGACGCATTGACCCTTCCACTTGGGGGGAGGGAGGCCTAGATCGCGGTCGTTGAAGCTTTGGCTTTCGGGGGAAATGCCGGTGTCTATGACTCCTATGACGAGATCAGAGCCGAAATCGGTTTCCTTAAGTAAACCAGCCCTGTCGGCGGTGTTGAGGCCGAGGAAGTGAGGGGAGCGCGTGGTGTGGAGTTGGCGCACCTGCTCGGGTATGAGGCCTATGACGTGGGAGAGTGACTGCAGGTTCTGCACCTCTGCGGCTGAGAGGCTTGCAGAAAATCCCTGGAACACTGTTTGGTAGGTGTGGATTATGGAGGTGCCGTCGGCGAGGGATGACTCGTACCAGTGCCTGTGAGTGGGGAAGATGGAAGGCTTTGCATCGTGCTGCACTTGCACTATGAATGTTCTCTTTTCTGCTTCCCAAGCTGAGGCTGTGACCAACAAGAATAGCAGGACGATGATGCCATGGGAGGGAGAAGCCATCCAGAATGAGATTCTCTCTCAGGTGAACAGACTTGAAATGTCAATTAAATTTACCAACACACAGACAAAACATTCACAGATACAGAAAACATGTGTTGCCACAATCCCCTCATTTATTAACTATAAACAATTTTTCACATGTGTCCGTTTAACATTTTCCTTATAAATTATACGTATTTATCAGACATTTCTTTTTTATTCGTTTCTCATGGAACAACTTTTTCTTTCCTTTTTTGGCCAACTAAGTCAAATTATTCATGATTGTGTTTAGTGAAGGTGATCTTGGAATGTAAAGAACACGTAGAATTTTGACGAGATTCGACTAGAATCTAGATTAGATATCAATTGAATATAGGACATTTAATTTCATAAGTTAATATTTCAGGATTTTTTAATCACTGTTTTCAATTAAAAACATTTTTAAAAAATCCGATATTTTAAAATAAAGTCAAATATATTTTTCCCTAAAATATAATAAGAAACATATTTAAAAGCGTTTACTTTCTAAAAGTCAGGAATCTGTTCACACTAATTCATGAACCATAATCATTAATCATGAAACCATAAAACTTTCAACAATAGCAATTAGCAAAGGTTCAGCTATCAGTGTGCATGATAAATAATAGGTCTTGCTAATAATGAAATAATAATATTAACTATAAAACAATTAAAAATAAACGGCATTAACAATCACGACAAAAGTTCTATCATTTTCTGAAAATCAGAACAAAATAACACAGCTAAAACACTTCACAAATAGTTAAAATTTAATCATTTACTAAGTTCCAAAAGAACCAAAAATCGGCATGCAGTTCTCTTCCTCTCACTGACAGAACTGGCGTTTATGCTTTAGAAATTCAATCAAAGAATGAACAAATTAAGTGTTGCACACAGATACGCAAATAAAAGCCACCCCTAATTAATTGAAATTAATTGAAACGATACACGTGCTTGTCACAAAATTGTTTCATGTGAAATACATGATCTTGAATTGAAGCCAAGATTTGTAAAGAATACCAAAAAATATACATATACATGGATTATTATAAGTATAGCTGGATCAGCTCATCACTAACAACAGATGGAGTAAGAACACCTAAATCTGTGAAAAGCAGAGTCAGGTACTGAGGAGGGGTGTAGTCCCGCGCGGATTGTTCAACCTCGACCTTGGACGGAATAGGTACACCAAAATCAATAGGGCGTAAAGCAGGGGCTAAATCCTTTTGGTCAAGAGGGTAAAGGCGCGCAAACTGCAGAACAACATAACAAACAAGACATTAACTCCACAACATAAATTCCCAATTAAAGCAACCTTTCTTAAAAAGGGATGAGAGCAAGCTAACAAAGTCCAACGTATAAAATTGCAAATATACCTTGTAGCTTTCAGCAGCGACATAAACTGGTTTATTCATACCGTGAGCAACCAATGCAATTTGGTAGGTCCCCATCATGTTGATTATGCCCCCGCTCTCGACAACTCCATCTGCACCTACAAAAACCATGTCCACCTCATCCATAGTATATGCCACAGCAGAGTCTATTAGTAGCTTCACAGGAACATCAAGCTTGGCCAGCTCATTGGACAACCGCAATCCTGTTCGATCTGGTCTTCCCTCTACAAATTAACAGACACGCAGGTTGAAGTCCAGATTACAATGAAGAATGCCAAAGATATAACACTCCACGAGTTTAAAATGGGTTTTATGAATGGAAATTATGGTGACAAAAATTTGAAACTGTTACGGAAACCTAAACTACAACATTAGAATTATGTGTGTTTTGCCTTTTTGTTATCTGATATACGTATGACCTGTCAACCCTCCTCTATTTATCCTACCAAAGCTATCCAACCCAGCCCAATTTACTCGAACTGGAGCACATTATATTGTTTCATGTCTAGGATCTCGAATGTTAGTTCCATACATTTCGGGTATCAGGGCAACGTTACACTCCCTGAGATATCGGACTACAGTTTCCTAAGTACTGGAGATATGGACGTAATGAGTTGTTGACCTATTTATACCTAGAGCCTCTCTCCAAAAACATCTGACCCATAGGTCAGCTAGGATAAAGACAAAGTGAAGTCAAATAGCATCACTTGATCAACTGTTACCAAGATCGGATCCTAGTAAGAGCAGGAGGGTACAGAAACCAAACTTCACAGGCAATATCATTAACCATGCTTAATCTCACTACGTGGGGATGTTTCTATGTATCAATCAATAAAAAAGAACGGATCAATAGAAACCAAATTATCAGTAAAACAATCAGAGAAACATTGGTTTCTTCCATTGTTTTAAAAAGAACAAAGCAATGAATGAGAATAACAATTCTAATTATCCTGCCCAGGGCTTCAATACAAGCGATGACTGAGAAAAGATGTTTATAATTATATTGAGGAAAGGAAGTATATATCCATGAAATTAATGTTTAATAAAAATACAGGGTGCTCACTTGTTATTTGGATTTTAGAACTAAATATGAATATGATCCATCTGTTACATATATATATAAGCAGAGAAAGAAGGCAAATAAAAAAACCTGTGCAGAAGACCCGAAATAATTTCTTGTTTTGTGCTGCCAATTTGAGGACTTCAAAGACAACTCTGGAAAAACCATGAACCAAAATTGTACAACCATCAAATATAAAATCCTGACTCAACATTGCAATAACTTTGCGGGCCTGCAGAATGAAAAAATTAATTTGAGCACAAGTGTGAGCAAAGGAAAAAAGGAAATCCGTGTGCAGTAAAGTGCAGAGAGTGGTAATGAGTGAGGAAAAAAGTTGCCTTGTAGGAGATTTCGCCAAACTTCTCAGCACGCTCAATCAAGCGAGATTTAGCGGAATTGAAGTCTTCATATTCTAAAGCAGAAGTTCGAGTGACATATCGCATAAAGAGATCACAGCCCGCTGTCAAAGAGATAGAGGTCGTATCCCACGACTGCAGTGCAACAAAGAATGTTGAAGTCACAATGAATGAATAGAAAATTTTATAGTAAGCGGCTTGAGAGTACCTTGAGAGTATCGGACGCCTTCTTCAGCTCGATTTCCAGCTGCATCATGGTGGTAGCCTGGCTGGACCTTATGACGGCGGCCAAGGCGCGAATGGCGGCGACGGCCTCCGCCAAATGGGGCTGTTTCCTCCAGTTATTAAACTCGTTGATGACGCTGAAGGGCTTGTCAGGATCGAGCCTGGGTTGTGGTAGAGGGTCAGGGTCCGGCCCAATGGCCGCCTGAGCCTGAGCCAGCCAGTCGCTGGTGACGACGCCGTGGTGCGCTGCTCTAGTCTCATAGTAGGCAGAGGTCTTAGGGTTGGGGTTGGGATTGGGGTTAGGGTTTGATATTGATGAGTCGATAGGAGCGATGGTGTCCCCCTTGAACGCAGCTTCGTTCTGCTGCCTGTCCATGATGAATGATGCTGATCTCCACCACATCCTTGATCTACCCTTTCCCACTACAACACAACAAATTCGATTCTATTCGATTGGATTCGATTCAGACAAGAATCGATGCGCAGTGTGTGTGTGTATCACTAGGGTTCAGCAATTCTCAAATTCAATTTACAATTATCCCGATGAACTAACCCGACACCGTTTCACGCCTGTGAACTAAATTAAACCATTTTTAATCTTGTACAAATCAACGTAAGTAATTTTGCTCGTTAAATTTAAAAATAACTAATCTTGTTCTCTTATCATTTTCACAATAACATCATTAATTTTGTTATATTTAATCATAATAGTATTTTTTCAGTATTTAAATTAATTAATTTATCATAAAATAATTCATTTAAATAAAACATTTTAATCATATTATAATAATTTTAGTTTATAACAAAATCCAATACAGTGAGCCTATTTTCAAATTCCTAATGTTTCAATGCACAAGTTTGATAGACTGAAATATAAATCAATTTCAATAATTTAATCTTATTTAGAATTCTTTTGTTTAAGTTTTTGTCATCAAGTAATTACCCTTTTTTTCAAATAAAAAAGGTCACTTTTTTTATATGTTTGTTATAGCCTTTCAAAACAATTAGAAGTTAAAAACAAAAACAAAATCTATTTATCATTAGAAACTATATCTTTTAAGGAATACTAAAAAATCTTAACTTATCATAAAATCAGTTACTTATTTTAAAATAAATTGTCCTGTTGTAATAATAAGTATGAATCAAGTTTTGCCTTTTTAATAAATATTTAAAAATAATCACTAAATTATTATACATTAAAATCACTCTCGTTTTATCTTATATAGACTGACGAATGCTAGGAAATGTAATTCTTTAATTTAAATTAAAAAAATAGATATTACATTTTTTTTTTCAAAAAGAAAGAAGAAATGTGTCTATGATCAGATCAAGTGTTCACCGTCCAAATAATTTGTCTTTTGAGAAGCAAAATAATATTATTTTTAGAAAGAAGGGTGAGATTGAAGCACAAGCTGTAGCAACCAAACACCCCTCAACATTGACACAGGATAAGCATAGTGCGTCTTTAATATTATAAAATTTAGTGGACAGAAACTGATAGAAACACTATTGTAGTCACAATATGATAATGTAAAACTCAAGAACCTTGATATTAAACAAGGTTAGGTAAAGCTTAAAATAAAACTTTAAATATAAAGTAAAAGTTATTTAGTAATCAATGGAAAATTTCTTGCTTTTATACCAAAAAGAGAGTTTATACAAATTAGGTATTAAGATATACAATTTTTGTTATCGGTTACAAAGATTAATTACTTTTCAGTATGTAAATAATGAGAACACACTTACACAACAAATCTATTTAGATCATTTAGAAAGACTTTTTATAACATATTTTGGAAAAATAAAAGAATTTTTACAAGATTATCTCATGTATGCATCTATAGTTAGATGTTTTCATGATTTAAGCATTTGAGAAAAGTTGTTTCTCAAACTACCAAGAAAATTAGGTAAAAAGATTAGAGAATCCTGAGAAAATGAAGAGGTAACTCCCAAGTTAAATAATATCTCAATAAGAATACAACACATCATGAAAGTGATGGAAGACACTTGTACACATATTGCAATTCAAAAACAACTGAAAAATTTCAAAGCTGAAATTTGTAAATAAATATACACACCTCAACAATACAATCAAAACAAACAAAATAGGAGATATTTATCTAGGAGTACATCTAGGCAAAATCAGAATTTTTATTCTACAAAACAAAGACCCATTACATATAAGAAGACTTATACGATAAGATCTTCAAATTCAAGAAAATCAACTCTAAATCCCAACCGACATGTTAGAAAATTTAGAGAAAATAAAACATACAAGCAGACATTAAAATATTTCGCTTGTAACCAACTATGACATTTCTCAAGAGATTGTCTTAACATTACAAATCTTTACACAAAGAGGCAGAACTCATAAAATCCAGTCTCATGAACCTTCTTTCAATTAATGAAGATGGTTCTACTGATTTTGAAATATTATCAGTAATTAGTATTACAGAATACCTTGATGAAATCAACTTAGACAAAAGTCATAAAAATTATGAGCTAATAAATGATTTCACGAAAAATGAATTCATACACCTTTATCCACAGGAAAATGATTTCTAACTGGATAATAAATACAATGAATTAGGAAATATATTATATGATTTTGGATATTGTCTAATGAATACAAGAGTTTCTTTCTTTGATAAGAAATCTAACAAAAGGGTATTGCAGAATTCTATCAGTTACACAAGTTTCAAAGATTTTGTAACCTTGAAGAAAGAAACTTTTGTTAGATTTCTTATCACAGAAAAAAAAAACTCTTGTATTCATTAGTCAATATCCAAAATCATCTAATATATTTCCTAATTCAATGTATTTACTATCCAGTTAAAAATAATTTTCTTGTGGATAAAGGTGTATGAATTTATTTTTCGTGAAATCATTTATTAGCTCATAATTTTTATGGCTTTTTTCTAAGTTGATTTCATCAGGGTATTATGTAATACTAATTACTGATAGTATTTCAGAATCAGTAGAAACATTTTCATCAATTGGAAGAAGGTTCATATGGCAGGATTTTATGAATTCTGCCTCTTTTGTGTAAAAATTTGCAATGTTAGGACAATCTCTTGAGAAATGTTCTGGTTGGTTACAAGCGAAACATTTTAATATCTGCTTATATGTTTTATTTTCTCTAAATTTCCTAACATGTCGGTTGGGATTTAGATTTAGTTTTCTTGAATTTGAAGATCTTATCGTATAAGTCTTCCTAGGTGTAATGGGTCTTTGTTTTGTAGAATAAAAATTCTGATTTTGCCTAGGTTTACTCCGAGATACATACCTCCTATTTGGTTTGTTTTGATTGTATTATTGAGGTGTGTATATTTGTTTACAAATTCCAGCTTCGGAGTTTTTCAGTTGTTTTTGTATTACAATATGTGTGCAAGTGTCTTCCATCACTTTCATGATGTATTATATTCTTATTGAGAGGTTATTCAACATGAGAGTTACCTCTTCATTTTTCCAGGATTCTCTAATCTTTTTACCTAGTTTTCCTGGTAGTTTGAGAAACATCTTTTCTCCAACGCTTAAATCATGGAAACATCCAGCTATAGATGCATACATGAGATAATCTTGTAAAAATTCTTTTATTTTTCCAAAGTATTTTATGGAAAGTCTTTCTAGATAACCTGCATAGATTTGTTATCTAAGTGTATTCCCATCATTTGCAGACTCGGAAGTAAGTAATTTATGTAATAGAGAATAAAAATTGTATATGTTAGGACTTAGTTCGATCGCTAACATGTTTAAATCAGTCGGATAATTCTTTTTAAAATATTTCCAACATGCTCTGGCTATATCACCTAAATAGATTTTGCCTTTAGTAATCATTTCTTGAGAATATTGAACATCTTTCTCGTAGTGTATGCCATAATCACGGATTATGGCTGCTGTCCATTGCTCAATATATGTTAGCAATAGTTGAGATCTATTCCTCTTATGTTTAGAAGAAGGTTAGACATCTGGAAATTTGGCTCAATCAGGAGCCTTTTTCCTTGTGTTATGTATTGATCGTTACTAAAAATAACATTTTGTGGTGATTATCTGGGCAATCGAATAACTTTGTACACAATCAGGTTCTAACTGATAGTTATGGGGTTAGAAATCACTTGATCCAACATTTGTGTTTACTAACCCTAATGTGGATACGGATTCTGAGGCTAAGGATACATTATCCAATGTATCACTATTTGTGTTAACTAACCCTAATGAGGATAAGGGTTCTGAGACTTTGGATACATCATCCAGAGTATCATCTAGACCCAAATTATCCAAAAATATATCTATGATATCATCCATTTCATCTATGATATCGTCCATTTTATCAATTTGGACATCTTCATTTATTTGGGACAAAGAATCTAATGTTCCTTGTCTGAACATGGCTATAACAGCTTGATGATGATTCCATTCCTCATCAGTCATGTCATCATCCTTGTCTTCATCTTCATCATATTCTATGATATTCATCATAGAGATGTTTTCGTTATCAGGAATAACAGAAGTGTTATGCCTATTTTCCACTGACCTATCTTGTTCTAGGTCTAGTCATGGTATGTTTCTATAGTCTATGAAACTTAGACTAAGTCCTCTAGATCTGTTATGCAAAATAGCATATGAAGGGGCAGTAATGAGATTATTTTCTTCCCTTAGCAAGTGTATTTGCCACAAGTGTCCTTCATTTCTTCTTGTGAAGGCTTGGACTGGCAAAATTTGTGTACCATGAGAGCTAGTCGCTTCCTCTAATGGTCTTGTATCTATCTTATACATGAAAGAAATATGGTTACTAATTCTTCCTATGAAGGTGAGATCTAAGTGTAGATATTCACTCATCCATTTGGGACCAAAACCTATTGTTTGTACTTCTAGACTTATATGATTAACAAAATCTGGAAGTGTCATTGTGAAATTTGGTGCAAGGTATATCAATGAAAAATATTGATTTAAATCCACCTCTAAAATACCTATCACACTTTGTGAATCATTATTCTGAAATCTGGAATCATGTAGAACTATCAAAGTTCTAGCTCCAATCATATGTCTAACTAAGGATCTTACTCTAATGGTAATCAATCCTATATAGACATATCTTTCTTGCTGGTTTAGTAGTTGCCTACTAGTTTGTTGAGATATCAGGGGAATTATCTCATAAGTGTTATTTGGAAGATGAAAATCTTATTCTATTCTTCTTTATTGGTAAAGACTAGTCCTTTCTGAGCTTAACCAACCAATATTGTATAACTGTTTAGGATTCAAGGAATCTATCCTTATATTTGATTCTATCTCAGTATTTTGTTGTATATCTACTAAGTCTTTTAAACGTCTGACATTAGTAGATCTTTGTCTATTTAGGAATCTATCTAAAATTCCTAGATGTTGTATGAGATTTTGACTACTGGTTTGATGTTCCCTTAGTCTTTTGTGAACTCCAAAAAATGTTTGTGTTTGATTAGAATCTGATGTACTATTCATATTAACAGTTTCAGATTGTCTGGAGTTATTGAGTTGTGTAAACATAACTAACTTCTAATATTATTTGGGAAAAAAAGACTTTTTTTTTATCATTTTAACTAATTTTTTAGTATTTTTAGAAATTTTAAAAATTGAATTTATGTGTATTAGTTCCTAAAAATAATTTAAAAATTTGATTAATGAAATCGTCCAATTTATTTGACTTATTTGTATTTTTTTAAAATTTATTAAACAAGTTAATTTTGTAAACACTTCTTTTAAAAACGTTATTATCGTGTTATTTTATCTAATAAATACTGTGTGTAGAATCTATTTCTGAAATATGTTTTTTGTATACAGTAGCAGAGATTCTGTTATTTGTTCGACAGCTGTAATAAGTATTTCGTAGTCTTTGTCTAAAAAAGTTGCAGACCTTTGATGGTTGAGGCATGTTCACAAGTCTTCTTAGATAATGGGGTCATATTAGTTTAATTAAATTTCAGATATTATCGATTTTAAAGACAGTATCAAAAACATTATTTTAATTTGACGCAGGTGATTTTGACGTGTTTATCTTATCCTTGTTACGGGGGTGAGAGTCTGAAGATGAGAGAGTGACCACAGCAGCAAAGTGAAATTGTAGCAGATAGCTTTTAATCAAACATGGCTTCTTATGTTTTTAACAATTGTCTTTATCATCAGACAATGAAGTTCTTCTTTTAGAATACAACGACATGGAAAAAGAAATTATGAACTAATCTTCTATAATACTAATGCATATACAACCAGTGGAAAAGGAAAGGCAATTGCCCTTATGAACCCCCCGTAGAAGTTACAACTCACTCACAACACACAAGAGGAACAAAACCCTCTGCACATGTTGCTATCATCCTTTTTCTCAGTCATGTTCATGCCTTTTTGATACACAGTCTATATATGTTGCTAAGACAAGATGAGATGGAATTATAAGGTGACTAATTAGCATAATGAGTTAAAGCCGTTACAGTTTAAGTCCTTTTTCAGACGTCCTTCAACACCACCACCATCATTGGAGTTCTCTCCTTTCACAATCTGAATCCAACTTTGTCGAAGAAGAAGATTCGTGATTTGAGTCTCTCTGTTGAATATGGCAGATGAGTATTACAAAGTAGGAAAATTGGAGTAAAAAATGGTATGATTTTGATGATTGGTACCTTGGATGATTGGTGGGGTCTGGAATTCTTTGAAAACATGGTCCTTCATCATACCCTTCGCAAATGATTTCCCCTCGCTCATCTTGGTAGCACACTATGCCCTCAGAACGATCTTCATACACCTGTTTCAACAAACACACATTAAGTATACCAAAACCATAACATCTGTTTCCTTCTGCTCAGAAAAGGGTAACCAAACATCAAACACAAACACACAGAAAAAACATAAAAACCTTGTTCTTGATGGATGCTGTGATCCTGAGTACCGATGCCCTTTTGAGAGGGACATAGCTTCGTTTCCACATAAATTTTTTGTCTGGGTACTTCACAAATGATCCATATTTCTGAACTGGGATTTGAATGGAAGAAATAGAGTTAACAGCCATGAATCTAATTCTGAAAGAATTGGCCAAAATAAAAATAAAACAAAATTCTAATTCTCCCAGAAGAAGAATAAACTTGGTGTCGTATAGGACCTGGCTATATAGGAACACAAGGATCTCGTCCTTTAATTTATTAATGGTAAACACTGGTTAAATTATTATAAAATGTAATAAATTGAATTATTGGTGGCCTGTGTCTTATCACGATACATTATTATATTATAATACAAATAGCAATGTAGGGCCAAAGTGGCTTATCCCTTACTTTGAATGCAGGTGAACTCCAAGTCAGTGTTATGGCTGATGCTTGATAGTGCTTCTCTCTTATCATTTTGTTGGTTGGTCCATTCACCATTTCAATATGGAATCAATGAATCAATCTCACATTCTTCACTTTTGCTCATGCTCCATCACACTTCGCAATTCCCATACTGTGTCTCAGGAATCATAATCCAAATCACATACTAATATGCAAGAATAAGAATAATGTAAAAGAAATTGTCAGAGACACATGGAGCTACATCTGCTATCATCACTACAAAAAGTTTCAGAAGGAACCAAGACTTACCAAAATTTGGATAAACTTTTTTCTATAAGTATTTCTTCTATAAAAATAAAAAAACTACAACAAATATTTGTATAGATAGAATTTATTTTTATATAATTATTTTTTTTACAATTTAACTTGTATATAAATTAATCTTATTTTATAAAAATATGTTTTTTTCCTATAAATACTTGTATAGGAGTTTATATAAACAAACCCTTTATATTTTAGCTTTAGTTTAACCAAATAGTAACTCTTAAAAAGTTTTAGACATTTCTAGGAAAAATATTAGAGACACTTTTTTTTTTAAAAGACGGCCTTTTATTGCTTACAATTTATTAAAAGTACAAGAAAAATATTTATCTGATGTCATATTAATAGTTTTTACGCTGTAATAATTTTTTAATAAATTTCAACTAATAGAAAAGAGTAGGTTAGAAAAAGAGTGTTTTTTTATATAAAAAAAGAGAGTGTTTTAATGATACTCATCTTTGTATAGTTATCACCTCCATAAAAGAAAAACACTACAACTTTTATAAAAAAGAATAATAAAACAACGTTTATTATTTTGTAGATAATACTAAAAAAGTATTTAAAATCTAAATTACATTAAATTTAAAAAAGTTAATTAATTTTATTTAAAGGCACTCCATGTGAAGATGTCACTGTAAGTTACACGGGCTTTCACGCAAGTTATGATGGTTTTAAAAAAGAGTCGTGTCTAATTGAATATTTTCAAACATTAGGATACGATCTTCAACGATGCTTTCACTAAATATAATTAAGGAGTAGCAACGTCAAGTCACGTCACGTCAAACCAATTGGGTAATTGGATTTCCTATATGATCTTGCTTTTATCATATTCACCCAATATTTTTATTTTTCTTGTTATTTCAATACAAAGGTTATTAATGAAGTAAACATTTTCCCATAAATAATTTTTGTGAAGTAATTTGTTGTTGGGTGGAATTTGATGGAGCATTGCTAAAAGTAAAGGGTGTACTCTGAGTGAGGTTGTTTGTTGGGAAAATGATTTCCTATGCAGGTCCCGAAGCTCCCTCTTCTTTTGATGAAGCAGTGGCTGAGTAGCAGTAGCACTATTTCGTCATCTTCCACACATTTCATGAATTGTAATTCACTCCTTCATCTCATTTTACAACCTCATGCTTCCAATCCATCCATCCAGTCAACTCAACACTGCCTTTTCCTTGTTCAGTTCTGCATGCTGTTCCTTTTCTGTTCCTCTCTCTGACTCTCCAGTCACTTTCTCATGCCCCACTGTTTTATTTATGGCATAATCCAAGCACAGCACAACGCAGAGTAGGCTTAGGCAGTAGTGGCACTAGACTTGTAGGCACACACCCTTTTTCTTCCACTCAGTTACCCCAATAAGTTCTGGTTAGTCCATGCCCCACTCTTATATGTTATGGATCTCCCCATTTGAGTTAAGACCAACTAACTCTGTACAACATAGCATGCATTTGTATGGTAACGTTACAAGCAAAACCACACACAACTCCTTCCTTCATCCACTCATTTTGCAAACTCAATCTCTGGAAATCTCTGAATTTGTTAACTGAACTCCTTTCTAATGCCAAACAACGGAAACTCTGATAGCAGAGAGGTTTCAGCGAACAGGGGGAGAGAAGAAAGGAACTGTATCACACACAGGAGACTAGAGGCTCCCTCTACCCCTGGCAGACCCTTTTTCAGCTTCAACAGCATTGGCAATCTTTCAAGAAAGAGCTTCCCTTCCAAATGGGACGACGCGGAGAAATGGCTCATTAGCTCCCATCACTCCCCACCTCACACTATAAAGTTTTCTGAGCCTTCCAACTTAAAGACGCACCCTGACACTGGCAGCTTTCAAGGCTCTGCATCTTTGGACCACCATGACTCAGTCCATGCTTCTAATGGGATCTCATGCTCCACGCACACTGTGCTTAAAGGTGCTATAAACATCGTTACTTCTCAACTTTGCTCTTGTTCGCCGTGCCTTTATTATTTTCAACCCACCTGTATGCTCCTCATTGTCCTCTTGTCTCTCTTGTCCTTTCTCTTTGCTACTTTCAGACTTCTGCTTATCTACATTCTACAATAACTTTTATATAAAACTTCTTTTTAGAATGATTGTAGTTTGAAAGTTACATATCATGATTATTGAATACTACCAATTCTGATAGAACATTTTTTTTTTCTTTTATATCTTTAATTGATCTCAGTCAGACTCGTTGGGTTTTGTACCCGCAAATCAATTTACTAACATAGGAGCCAGTTGCTGTTAAGCATGCTGGTTGCAGCCTACACTTGCAATTTCCAAAGAAGATGACACTCTCACTACATAGATATTGATAAAAGAAAAAATCATCCTTTTGCAATTAAATAACATGATTGAGTTCAATTTTACAAGTTAAAACGGCTCCTGGACAAATAGTGAATTTTCATTTGCAATGCAGATAAGTTCACAGACAGCTCTGTGCCCATTTTTCCAAATTTGCAATATTCAGAGCCAAATGGAGAAGGGTTTTTGTTTGGAGATAAAGCTGGGGAGGTAATGAAAGATGCTTGCAGTGAAGTGGTTCGTAAGGATGTTGGGACGGAGATGACGCCTCTTGGAAGTTGCACAACCTCAAGATGCCACACCCCATTCAAGAGTTCATCTCCTGCTCGCCATAACACTCCTGCAAGTAAGTCAGGACCATTGTCCTTGGCAAACCATGATAACACAACCTGCACCATTGACCTTATTCAGCTGGAGGAGTGCCATTTTGCTAAATTGCAAGTGGGAAAACAATATAATTCGGTCACATCACACTGGAGATCAAGAGAAGAGGAGGAAGAGGAGATATCAAAGAGCTTGAGACATAATGCTAGCCAGAAAGCTGATTCAGACTGCAGGGCTGCTACGTGGGAAGAAGAGGAAAGGACCAAGTCTTGTCTCAGGTAAATTAACCTTACAGCAGTAAGATATTGTAATTTCATCTGATTTGTATCAGTGTATGCCTGTATGGAAGGACTAAAATGTAATATGTGTTGCAGGTATAAGAGAGAAGAAGCCAAAATTCAAGCTTGGTTAGACCTCCAAAGTGCTAAAGCAGAAGAACAATCACGAAAGCTTGAGGTACTTCATTACTGATATTTTCTGATGAGTTATGATTAGTTACAATGGCTTGTATTCAACAACAATGCCTATGGAAACAATTAGTATTAGTTTTCCATACAAAGTTATTCTTTACCCTCGTTCACTGGAAATAGTTGACCAAATCATTAAAGCTCAAGTCTATTATTCTCCTAAGATAAATTAGTTTCAGGCTTTCTGCACAAGTTATGACTGTAATTTACCAAACCAGGAGATGATTTATGCTAAACTTTTTTTAATTACTTTAACATGAATAAGAAGTTTTCCTAATGGTTGGCCCATTAGCTCCTCCATTTTTTTTGTTCTTGATTTTTGCATAAAAAATAATAGTCCTTATAGGCAAGTACAAATTTTCCTTATTACTTACTAGTTTTTATGTTTTTGCATGCAGCAAGTTCTTGACCAATTTATTAGCCTATAATAGCAACCCAAAATGATCCATTTAACAAAATACTGTACATACTTGTTGGCACCTGCTGGTTAGAACTTTTTACTACAATTCAAAGTGCTTTGCCATGGGTCCAGTTTGCCTTCCTCCTCGAGCCAGCCAGCCCCAGCTTAAGAAAGGACACCATTCCCTATTGTTTTGTTGACCAGTCCACACCTCCAAAATCCAATGCATATCCATATCATGCTTCCCTCTTACTAAAAAGAACTATAACCCCATTAGTTATTCTGTTCCTAATATTATATTAGAGAGCACATGTGATTTTGTTTAGAAATTCGTGGGGAACTTGGAGCTTATGAATTGATTTGGCAAGTTATAGTAGGAGTTGTCGCCCTGGATTTTTTATTTTTTTTCATTGCTGTTCAACTTGAATATAAAATGGATTTGAATATTATGCATTTTTATTTGAAGGTGTAGAACATGTCGAAAATTTGTTTGGACAGATTAAAGGTTACAGTGGGATTGACTTGTAGTGTATCGTGCGAGGAATGTGGGAGTGAGAAAACAAAATAAAATATAGTTTAACGATTAATGGGAGTGAGTTTGTGTGAGCGAAAGTAACGGTTGTAAAAGTAGCAGTATTCAACTCATTTATATAAAATCTAAATAGTTTTGAGGACTCTTGAGTAGGAAACACTTTGTGCAATTAATTCAATGTTAAAGAGGTGTAAGGTGGTGTTTTCTACTCAAAAGTCAAAACCACCAATGACATAACTGTGAGATAAAATATACACATTACCTAGCAATATCTTAACTTCAAACAAGGTTAAGAAGCAATGACAATGAAACTAAGATGTTGCTGAAACATTTGTTTAGGTGAAAATACAAAAGATGAGATCAAACTTGGAAGAGAAGTTGATGAAAAGGATGGCAGTGGTTCACAGAAAGGCTGAGGAGTGGAAAGCAGCAGCCAAACAGCAGCACTTAGAGCAAATCCAGAAGACCACAGAACAAGCACAAAAGATTAAGAACCAGTATACCTCTCTAGTTTTAGGCCAGAATTCATGTGGTTGCTTCCCCTGCACTATCAATCATCACTAAACATAATATAATATTGATCAATTGTTCTTGCATAGAGTTTACTCCTGAAAATATTTGTTACCCTATCTTTTTAGAAAAGATTATCCTTGTCTTCAATGGATGTGATCGATAAGGTAATACGTCAACGAATTTTGAAAACCAAAGTGTTTTGAACAATTTATGTGTTTGGGTAAGAAAGTACATCTTGCCCGTATTTATTTTAAATATTTAAAACAAGTAACTGAATAATACGTGGTGATTTAACTCATGTTCTAATCCAAAATCCAAAACAGAACTACTGCTACTAGTACAGGAGAGAGGGAAGCTTGAGTTGAGAACGCACTCACTCATTAGCCTCCTTGCTCATTATTTTCATGCCTGACCTCAACCCAACACAAACTACAGTTAAGAAATGACAAAGAAGAAGAAACACCGAGTAGAAGGGAAAAGTAGATTGGAAGTGAAGAGGAGAGAGATGAATAGTTAGAGGCCAAGGGAGAATGGAAATCCAGTAGAGGGCAACCAGCTTGAGCCTGCAATGAAATTGGCAGGAGTAAAACTGTTGGCCTCAGTAGCGCTGGTGATGACCTTGAACCCTTTCCAAGAAACCCTCCTCGAGGTTGCAGCACCAGGCCCAGTGTTCTGATACTCCCCGTAGAACAACGTATTCAAGGCAAAGTTGCCATCCCACTCATGCCAGCCAGCAGGGTCAATGATGTCACTGATGGTTGATTGCATGATGACAGTACGAGAGTACTCCTTCCATGGCCTGCCGAGAAAAGTGGGGAAGCTGCCTTTGACAGACTCCAAGTCCTTGGTGGCACCAATCCTGCTTTTCTGAATGACAATGCCGGTGTTCTGGTTGGGGTCAAGGCGGCCCTGAGCGGTGACCATGTTCTTTTGGCCCGGATTGGGACGCCTGGCGTGGATGTCGGAGTTCTGGATGACAGCAGCGGAGTTGCCGAAGATGAAGTCGACGGTGCCGGCTATGTAGCAGTTGACAAAGAATTGGCGGTTGCTGTGGACGTAAAGGGTGTCTTGGTATGCAATGAAGTCGCAGCGGTAGAATGCCGAGAGGTCTGCACCAACTCTCAGGGCAACTGCTTGGTGCTTTGAGGGACCAGCTGAGTTCTGGATGGTTATGTCTCTTCCCAAGAATCTTTCACCCACCACAGCTGCAATTCCAAACCAACCACTCTAATTCCATCTTTTGTATTCAATTTTAAATTTATTTATTTCACCTACCATTTTCTTTTTATTATTCCATTATTATTATTGTTAAAATTAAAAATCTATATTTTTATATTATTAATTTTTTAAAATATTTATTTTATTTTTAAGATATATCATGATTTTTTACTTATTATAAATATTACACTTTTTTAATAATAAAAAGAAAAAAATATTTCTAATAATGGTTTAAGCCGGAATTTATAGTTTCTAGAACGATGAAACTAGTCAATGTTATTTTTTTAAAAATTATGGATGTCATGTCATTATGAAAGGTAGTGTGAATGATTGTAAAACTTTAAAGTCACACCTACATTTGCTAAAACTAATGATGATGCAGGACAGAGAGAAGACCGACTTCATCTTGGTCATTTCCTAGATCTATGCTTGATTGGTGGGACAACCTATGCTATCCGCAATATCGTCCTTTCACAGTATCTCTTTTTAAGTGGTTTCTTTCAAAGTGTTAATTTAATGCTTTAATTTTCCTTTTGCATTAATCACACTCATTTCCTCGTAAAAAAAATGTTTTAAGAAATAAACTAATGGAAAGAGACACTTTTTTAACTTTTGAATACAAATTATCTTCAAAACTAGTTTAAAAATCGTAAAAATTAGTTAAGTGATTTTGGGGGCCAAAGACAGTACAGTTCAAAAGACATTGGATTTGGTTTCTATCCGCAAAAACATTGGAGAGATTTGGATAATGATGTCTGAAAGGTAAGCAATGAACCAATGTTGAAACATAAAGCGGTGTCCTTGACATCTGAATGTGGATGAATTTAGCATGTTAAAAAAACGTGAACTAAGAAAAAGAGAAGAGCTTTTAAGAAACTGACCTACTGTGGCAGAGTTGAAGGTGGTGCTGCCATCCACCACATTTCTACTTGCAGTGATGATGGTGTTGGTTCTGCCATCTCCAAGGAACATGATGTTAGTCTTCTTCTTCGGCACATCCACGTTCTCTCTGTACACACCCGCTTTGATCTTAATCACATATCTCTTGCTACTCTTCTCAGGAGCCGCAGCCACCGCAGCCGACACCGTCCTGAAGTTGCCGCTCCCGTCCGCCGCCACCACCACGTCAGGATTTACCGTACCTGTCTGCAGAAGGCGGCGGTCGGCGGCGGAAATCCAGTCGGGCCACATGATATCGTCGTGAGCCTCCATGGTTTTCCTGGGTTTGTTTATGTTGCTGTTGGCCATGTCGGTGTCAGTAAGGTTCTTTGTCATGGCCAATGCGTTGCTGCACAAGTGCTCCGCGTGCACTTGGCCTGCCTCCAGATGCTTATGCCTCAGTATTTTGTCAGCCTGGTCGTGAGAGAAACCGTCGAGGCACGTATCTTGGTTGGTTATGGCGGCACTGATGAGAGTTTTCAGATCCTCGGCGTACTGTGACAAAGACTTCTTGGAGGGGTAGTCTTTGAGTTCATCTATGGCCTTGTGAAGCTCGTCGAGGGTCTCACCAATGGTTTCCAAGCAATCATGGAGGGCCGTTTTCTGCCTCTTGGTCAGGCCCTTTGCGTGTGAGAGCTTCTGCACGATGAAGTAATTCCGCCCAACAATTCTCGCGGTTATGTTCAACGAGTGCTCTATCACGTCCTTGTGGCTCGAAACTTTGTCCGCGAGGCCTGGCTCAGTGGCTATGTTTGAGAAGCATAATTCCGGGTACAAGGTGCTCCTGCAGGCGCTTTTGATGATGGCGTGCGACGAAGTGGAGGAGGAGGCGTTGTCGCCGGAGTTCTTGCGAGAGGTGACTCCGGCCACGACGGCGAGGGTGACAAGGAGAGTGGCAGCGAGAGCCAACAAGAGTTTGGTTTTGGTGAGGGAACGGGAAATAGTGGGAAAGACTTGTTTGAGTTTGGTGGTCATGGTTGCCAAAATTCCAGTTTAATTTGAGAAAAGGAAAGTAATAACGGAAGAGATATATAACATGTGAAGAGTAGTTTTGTTTTGTTGTTTTGGAAAGGCTGAGAAATGAATGGAGTGTCGGTACTTTCACGAGGTAGCTAAGGTTAAAATGAATCAGTGTGAATGTTTGAGTAACAGAAGTGTAAAAAATCTGAACATAACCTTGAAAAGGTGTATGTGATGATCAATGAATATCTCTAACATATTTTTTCCCAGAAGATAATAGTTACAGTATTGTAATTTAAGGTGGTTGTAGCGTTGCCTTAATAAATTCAATCCGTATTACAACTTAATCATTCACTGTTGCTTCATGTGAGTGTGAGTGTTACAGCAACCTCTTTGTCTTCACCCCAATAATTCATGACTTTTCAAACATTTTATCCTCCCAATGACCTTGATATATACACCATTATTTCAGGGAAACCATACAGTAACACATGCAGTACTAAGCACATATCATGCCAAAAGAAAGGAATGGAAACACACATATAATAAAGTTTTATTCATTTATTTGAATTAAGGTTTGTGTTTGATATCTACCTTTCAAACGATTATTGACTAGACTTAGACCAACCAAATGTATGATTTGCAACAGGTATATGTGCAATGCTTTTGTGTTATACTTCTCAAATCATTATATATATACTTGTTTTTATGCTGGAGGCTTCAACATATCATGAAGAGTAGTTTATGAATGAAAAAGTAGATTGAATTGATTATAAATATAAAGAGGTTGGAATGAGATGCCAGGGAGTAAAGAAATGATGGTGGGGAAGCAGGTTGAAGCTTTGGCCTCCAAAGCACTGGTAATGGCCTTAAGGTGGCCCCCAGTGTTCTTGTAGTCTCCAGAACCAGCATGCTAATTTTATAGCAGGTACAGACATTAAAATATGTGATGAAAATGTCGTAAGAATGTGAAGGAGTGGAGATCCTTAGTTAAAGAGATAATTAGTATTGAAAATGTGAGTAGTTTTCAAGATTCTATTCATAAGTTTGTGGTGAAGAATAGTCTTTTTTTCCTTGGACAGTAGTACAGTAAAGGGAAATTAAAGCAAAGAAAACAGCAGCAAAAGATGCATAAAAACAAGGAAAGAGGTGGGGATGAGGAGGATGACAAAGACTTATGATGATGGCTCACAGCTTCAGACAAGAAGGAGATTCACAAAAAGTCTTTAAAAGCAATTTCAAAATTTAAAGAGAGAGTTTTCAAGATGTGGTGATTCAATTGTCAGATAAATAGCTGCCATAATAATTTCGATCCATACCTAATTAGATGGAACAATTACTATTTGTACTCTTACATGTCTGAATCATAAGTTTTAGCATATTACTATTTCATCCCATATCATATTTTAGCATGTCTTTTTTTCTTATTACTTGAAAGTAGCAACAATAAATTATTGTAGAAACAGCATAATAAATAAGATTAAAGTGATAAGAATAACCATCAATTCTAATATTATATTAGAAAATTACGAAAAAATAAATAATAAAAAGATATTTATTAATAAATAATGAGATAGTCACATAAAAATTAAATAAAATCATATACCACAATAAACAGAAGAGTTTTTAATATTAATAAAATGAATTATCAATTAACTATCCATATATTATTATCACTCTTTTTATTTATAATAATTTCTGGTAACTGAATTTCTTTCATTGACTGACAAATAATACTCGTCGAGCAGTTAATCACATTGAAACATAACGTCACTTTTGCTAAGAAGCTAAAACAACTTCTCCTACAACCGTTTTTTTATTAATATAATAATGATGATAAAAAGATTTAATAAAAATAAAATAAATTAAAATTATTATTATAATATTAAAAGTGGATTATTTTTAAAAATTGTATGAATTTAAGATTGTCATAATATACTTTTTATAAAAAATAAATATTAGGATTATGATATTTGAAAACTCATGTTTTCTAAATATCTATTTAACCACTCACTTTTATATTTTTTATATTATTATTTATTTTTTTTATCAATCAACAAAGAGATAATATTTTAAAATTATTTATGAGATATTTGAAAAAAATAAATCTCAAAACATCTTTTCCCTTAATATTATTAAACATTAAAAGTAATGTGTGTAATAATATGACTAAACTAAATGGTTATAAATATTCAAAGAAATATACTAATTTATCTATATAAATAAAGATCAAACTGTATATATAAAAAGATTTAATCATAATTAACTAAGTTTAATTATAATATTTTTGACAAGAGATAACTTAATATAAAAAAAGTAAATATGAGGTTTTAGAATCATAAAATGGATTAGGACTTACTGATAGTTAGTTCCTTAAAAAATAATAATGTGGTTTGATAATTTTAATATACTAGCTCGTTTGACCATTTGATGATACAAATGGATCCGTTTTAATTTTAAAAAATATTTATATAATTAAAAATATTATGTTTTTTATCATGTTATTAAAATATATAAATATATTATAATATTATAATTTAAATTATAAAAATTAATTAATTAATTAAATTTAAATTATTAATTATAATTAATTATTTTAACACATAAATATAATGATTTTTTAATTTATTTAATAAAAATATTAATTAATAAATAAAATGTTTCAAATTATTTACATAATTAAAAATATATAAAAATTTTATTTAAAAATAATTATTTAAAAAGTGTAACCAACCAAAATGGGTATCATCCTTAATTTAAAAAGTTAAGTTGTTACAAAATTACAGCCTTCATCAATCAAAATATAATTTAACACTTTTTAATATAAATAACCACTCCATAAATAATTTTCAACATTTCACTGGTTTTGAAAATTTATGCTCTTCAAATTCTTAAATAATCTATGAAATATTTTAAAATTGGTCACTTTTATGACTTCTAAATATTTTAATATATTTTTTATTTTTTCCTAAACTTTGATCTTGAATAAGAAATAAAAATTTGAAATTTTATAGAAAAACAAACATAAAAAATTAGTTTTGATAATTAAAATTAATAAATTAAATTTGAATAAAATTATTAATATATTAACAGTGCAAAAAGATTAAAAAGATAGAAAAATATCATACTATAATTGTTTTTGGGTTAAGAAGTAAAATAAGGCCTCATAAAAAAGGGGCGAGAAGGGTTTTGCCTAGGTTTAGTTAAGAAGTTACGCCGTGCGTTTCGAATTGTGTGAGTGATGCTTCATACTTGATTTCATTATATCTTCCGTCGCGCGCCACCGCGAGAAGAAGAACCGGAAACAGCAGCAGTCACAGCCGCAACCACAACCTCAACGTACCTCTCTCTCTCTCTCTCTCTCTCTACAAAAATGGCTCTTTGATTCATTTTTTATACACTCACAGTCTAAGTCACAGTGACAGCGTGGTTATGGTTTCTATTGGTTCAAAAGCATTGGTGTCAAGAAGGTCAATGGGCGACCACGATCATGAATCCCTCGAGCAGGCCAAAACTAAGAGGAGAAAGCATAAGAAAGGAGCAGCAGCTCATGAACTCGATTCCAATCCCAAACGCACCAACACCAACTCCAACCCCAACACCTTCACTTCACCGCCTCAACTATCCCGTGTTAGGTACCTATTCTCCTCATTTATTTTCTCTCCCTTCAAATTGTGTCTTTCCCCCAATCTTTGATTAATTCAGTTATTTTCAATTTACATTACGCTTTGTAGGAAACAACTTGACCCTGAAACAACCCAATACTTCTCAGAAATTGCTAATCTTTTTGAAACTGAAGGGGTGCAATTGGAGGAACGATCACTTATATGTGCTAATGCTCTCCAGGAAACCAAGGGGAAAGAATTCGAAATAGCAACCGATTATATTGTTAGCCACACTTTGGAGACCATTCTCCAGGGTTGTGATGTAGACCACCTTTGTGATTTCCTTCGAACTTCTGCTAACGACTTCCCCTATATTGCAATGGATAGATCTGGTTCTCATGTCGCTGAGACGGCCATCAAGTCTTTAGCCGTTCATCTCCAAGACGATGAAGCTCGCCCTCTGGTTGAGGAGGCTTTAACCGTGATATGCAAGGTGGAATGCTTCTCATACTAGTTTAAAACGTGGAAATCATTTTTTTTTTTGCTTGCCACTTACTGTTCCCCTTTCTGTTCGATACCAAATTTATTTCTTGCTTTAATGTTTTCATACTGCATGTAAGGTTGAGTGTCTACCAGCAAAGGTAGTTGATGTTGGCAAAATTTACATTCATGTCAGGCTGTTTTTAGATATGGTCAGAGAAAAAATCTGTTGATTATGGGAATAGAAGATGAAAATATGGTCAGGAAGGATGTTCCTCTTTAAATGTGAATTCTTATATGTATACATGTCATTTCGCAGGTAATTGCAGCAAATTCCGTTAATGTAATGTGTGACTGCTATGGTTCTCATGTGCTGCGGACTCTTCTCTGCCTTTGTAGAGGAGTGCCGTTAGATAAGTCTGGATACTATTTATCAAAATCAAATACAGTATTAGCAGAGCGGTTGAATTCAAAGGAGTTTTCAAATAAAGATGTTGCAACAAATTTTCAGCCTGGATTTCCAAATTTACTGAAATTACTTGTATCAGATACGTTAAAGCATGCTAAGAAATGTATTAAGACACTACAAGTTGACCAATTCAGTAGTTTGGTTTTTCAGGTATCAATTCCATCTCTCTCTCCCGCTCTATCTCCCTCATCAAATGAATACTTGTATTCCTTCATGCTTTGTATTTATTATTTATTATTAGGTTGGGGACAGGCTATTGTGATTCAACGAGGTTCTCTATAAAATGAATTTTAATTTTCTTGTTTTGGTTAATGGTGGGGAGCATGAGTGATTTTTTATGTTGTCTTAGCCTCTAGAGTCTGGCAATTCCATTCCATAGTGGGTTGATATTATGGTGGAGCTTATGTGAGATATATCCTTCATTTCAGTAATTTCTTAGGCTCTGCTTGCTTTAGAACTTTATCATACTGTAAAGAGATTATTAATTTCATTCTTGACTTTGTTATCGTACCTGTTGGGTAAACATTTTCTATGTTGCCATTATGTGCTTACTGTTAGTGTTACTGTTAGCTTCTCTCTTTGATTCGTCTCATCTCACTGGGATTTCTTTAATTAATGGCAGACAATGCTGAGGGTCTTGGCAGGTGATGATGAAGAGTTGTTACGTGTGATTCCTTTCCTTCTTGGCTGCAAGGATAAAAATAATGCAGAGGACAATTTTATAGACACTAAATTATCAGCAGATCTCAAGAATTTGTTAAAGGAATCTAAATTTAGCCATCTAATGGAGGTGAGTATCATATAGATGAGGAAAACTGTATAATTAGCTACAACTACAATAGTGCAGGAGCTTTTGAAAAAGCAAAGAGGAGTTCAATAGAAACTACATGCATTTAGCTAGTTATTATTGGGAAGATGTTGAAGAAACTCATTTTCCTTTCATACTTTCTATAGTAAATGTGAATTTTAGTATAGAAGCAAACAAGCATTATATAACTACTATAATAGTAACCTTTACACAGCTATAATCTCAATAAATTTTGTCAATACCTAGATTTTATCTCTTGGCGGACAGCGATATGAATGTTAGACATGTTATGCATCTAATTTTTTTTATTTTTTTATTTTTTTTTTCTACAGAGATTCTGAGGTAATGAAATTTTGTAAATTATTTTCAGGTTGTTTTGGAAGTATCTCCTGAGGCCTTGTTTAATGAATTGTTCACCAAAGTATTCAGGAATTCCTTGTTTGAGTTATCATCTCATCAACATGGGAACTTTGTTGTTCAAGCATTAATTTCTTGTGCAAACAATCTAGATCTGGTATTATGCCTACTTGCCATTCTGCTTTACAATACTGAACATTTTCCTCATGTTGTTAGGGGTGACCACCAATTAAATTTATCTACTTTAGGATTGGTTTCAGAATGTTGCATGTACAACCTTTGTCTCCTGCATTTTCTTTTGACAATGCCTAATTTGTGTTATAATTTTATCTTTGCAAATTTTTCCTGTGTTTATTTTATGATTTTTCATTGTTTGGTAGATGGAGTTGATTTGGGAAGAACTTGGTCCAAATCTGGAGGATCTTTTCAAAATGGGAAGGTCAGGAGTTGTTGCTTCTCTTGTTGCTGCCAGTGAAAGGCTTCATGTTAATGAACGCAAGGTTTGCATTTTGGTGCATTGTCTATAATATGTGAATTCATATGTTCTTGTTTATTCAAGATTCTTGGCTAATTTATTGCTTATAAAGCCTAACTTCAAGTCTACAATGATCATCAAAATTTTAAAGTAAATGGTGTTACTTGCATTTCATACTGAAGTTATTTTAGCTTCCTAGTTTTGTGTTTCATCCTTGTGAAAACTTTAATGGCCTTTTTGTAACTTTGGGGCAGTGCTGTCAAGTCCTTGCTGAAGCAGTATGTCCAGTGGATGAGTCTCCAAAAGGGATTGTTCCACGACTCATGTTTCTTGATAGCTGTTTCACATATGAAGATAAGTCCAACTGGAGCTGGCAAAGTGGTGCTAAAATGAATGTCATGGGTTCTCTGATCTTACAGACAGTATTCCGTTTTAGAAGTGTAAGTGTCTTTCTTTAAAATTGATGTTTTGGCTGCTTTTTTCTGGTTTTGTTAGCCCAAAGGTAGTAGACGCAGTTGTTAGGTCTGAACTAGGTGGTCACTCTGATGTTGTGGCAACCTGGCAGGTCCAAATATGACGAAGGGGTTGAGGTGTATGAGAGGAGGGAAAAAGAGTGATCTCTATTTTTGGGTGAGCAAGTTATCCTGGTCATATGTGTGAGTCTTGTGGTAGGGATGTTTTTAGGCAAGTGGCTGAGATGTAGGAGTGAAGACGGTTATTTCCGTATATTGTGAATAGGAATTGAGAGCTCATGAGATGATGCTGTTTGACAGGCCCTGGAGTATGAATGGTCACTACTTCCTGTATACAATCAATGTGAATTTTCTTGGAAATTTAATTCATGTTTTAGCAAATAATTTAATTAGAATACATTGATAGTGTAAAGATTTTTTACACTGTCATCCAATCAAGATTGTCATGTATGTTAAGTTTATTGACTTTTATAATAATTACTTTAAAATTCATACTTAAAAATGATTTCTGATTAGTTGATAATAATAAAAAAAATTACCGTCATTCATTCAGTGTCACGTATGGTAAGTTTACTAAATTTTTAGGCTGTATCATGTTTTAAGTCCCTGAAATTTAGGGTGTAGTTTTGGTCCCTCAAATGTGGTATTTGGGGACTAAAATCATATTTTACTAAATTTGAGTAACTAAGAATTTTCTTCAAATTTTAGGACTAAAGACATAATTAAGTGAATTCATTAATAACTACTTTAAAAGCCATACCTAACATTGTTTCTGATTAATTAACAGTATTAAAAAACTCTTAACACTGATGGAGCACAAAATATAAATTCTTCAACAGAATGTAGAGGAAGAAAGTTGGACTTTACCATTTTGTTAAACTCCTGTAATGTCACATCATATAATGTCTTGGGATCTGGCATTTGTTGTTCCTAAAGAAATATTTTCATCCATTATCATATACAATGAAAATCAAGATGAGTTTCAATTGTCGTTGTGCCTTGTTTTATTTGGAAAGATTAAGGGTCTCCTTGTTTAGAGACGATTTGTTCTTCAATGTGTATTTTGGCTGAGACAGTAATGCACAGTCAGACATCTAATGGTGTGGTGAAGTTTTTATAGTGTTGTTGATGTCTTATGCTTATGATACTGATGCATTTTTCTTTTGTTTGGTTGAAGAGAAAACATAAAAGGAGAAAAAAGTTGACTTCTATAAACAAAAGTTCAGACTTTTCTATTCAATTCAAATTTAAACTTTTTCCTACTTTCATTCCTCTGCACCAAACAGAGGATTAGTGTGGGAATTGATGAAGCACTATGCCATAAATTACCCATTACTTTGTTAATTTATTTAAGCCTGCTAGTTTTATATCGTTTTTACATTATATAGTTTATTTATTGGCTCAATTCCGTTATCCTGGATTTTGTTTTCATAGGAATATATACAACCTTATATCACGAGTATAACTACCATGGAAGCTACCCACGTGCTTGAAGCAGTGGGAGATTCAAGAGGATCACATGTTATTGAGGCTTTTCTATGTTCAGGAGCTTCAGGGAAACTGAAGCGCAGATTGGTTACCAAGTATGTCTTTTAACTATTCATCCAGCATTTATTTTCTCTAGGAAAGTCTTATTTCTGCTAGAGGGCTTGATGATATAAACAAGATATTTATTAGATTATGTTTTCTATTTGTATATTAAACTCCAGTTTTTGTCACATAATTTATGGGATTTATTCAAATTTTATTTCATCGATGCATGCACATGAAATGAGAGCAATTGTTTTGCGGAAATCTAATTTATTTAATTCATAGTTAGGTAAGCTTTTGTGGTTTAAGGATCATTTAGATAATGCTTTCTCTTGACTAACTCTAAATGGATTAAATATCTATTGAGATACTTTTAAAATGGAGGGTTTAAAATTTCAAAATTGAAATTTGATGATTCTAGTTGACAAGGCTTAAGTTTTGGCAGTTTTTTTATTTATTTCTTATCTAATTTACCTGTAAAAGTATTTTTCTATCTGTACTTCGTGTTGAAATTATTAATAAATCTGTGTTTAATGGATTTGAAAATTGCTAATTGCTAATTTTTATTGTCTTTATCTTTTCCCTTTGTCCTTCATAACTTTGTAGACTGCGAGGGCATTTTGGAGAGATCGCACTCCACTCATCTGGTGCTTTTACCGTTGAAAAGTGCTTCACTGCCAGTAATCTGTCACTAAGAGAGGCTATAGTGTCGGAGGTGTTGGCTGTGCGAAGTGATCTTTCGAAGACAAAGCAGGGCTCTTTCCTATTAAGGAGACTAGATGTTGACGGGTATGCTGCTGACTATTTATTTTATTATAAAATCTTCAGATTATTACTTTCCATTAAGAACATATTTTTTAACTTAACTTTACAAGTTTATTAAAGTTAATCTTCACAATTTATCATGCTTTATTATAACAGATTTGCAGCGAGTCCTGATCATTGGCGGTCAAAACAAGCATCCAAAGAATCTACTTATAAAGATTTTTATACTATGTTTGGTTCCAATGATACAAAGTTGGCGAAAAATGATTCATTTCTTGCTGACACCTCGAATACAAAATCAAATCCAAAAAATGTAAAGGAAATGAGGAAAGAAATTGACCAATCTCTAGGTTCTGGTGCACCATTTTTGAGCTATCAAAAAAATTCAAAAAAGGAAAAGCACAAAAGTAAGAAAAATGCTTATATTAGAAGGGAGGATGATGACTCTAACAGAAAGAAGAGATCTAAAAAGGATAAGGTTGGAAGTGGGTTTGATAGTGCTGCTACTGCAGCAACCGGGAAGACAGTGAAGAAACGGCGAAGAGATGGTGACTTTTCCGAGGCTTCTCTGAAGAAAGTGAAGGCATCCAACGCATAGATTTAAAGACAGTTTTTTTCCCCAAAAGAAGAAATTATTTTAAAGAGAATTCTGGCGTTAAGAATTTCAGCTGGATCCCCAATTAATTTTTGAAGATTTGTATAATTAATCTTTGTTAGTAATTTTGTATCATTTTACAATGTCACATAGACTATGTTACTGGAAAATTGCATTAAGAAAGGTATTTAGTTTTTGCAAAATATGATTCTTTTTCCATCAATGATTTGCTTGACGCCTCCTCGCTCCAATATACCGTGATTTGCTGGATTTATACGATTTTGGTACAAACCTAGAGATGATTCGTCGTTTTTAGAACATGAATATTCTAGATTTTAGATATATCAGAACTCAACAAGCTTGGTTAACAAAGCTGTAAAATTCAATGTAAATTGCCATACATATAAACATTGGGAGTTGGCAAATGGAAGGTAACATACAAGTATATATACACGAACAGTTATTTTTACTTTACAAGGCGCTGTTGAAACAAAATTAAAGAAATAAGATCAGAAAGGAAACGGGTGCTTCCAACATCGGTGTATTGTTTGTTCTGTCAGTCAACCATACGTTGGAGGATTGAACCTGCGAAAGAAATATGATTTTTGTGTCAGTCATTGGGTAGCTGCGTATAATGGAGAGAGCTAGAAAGTGTTAAATAGTAAGAGTTACTTGTTTTGTGTGGGATTCGATTTGCTTGGAGGTATCCTTCGGAAACTGGAATAGAGCTGCTTAGAAAGATTCTTCCTATGAGCGTGACGAGATGATGAAGGCTTGCTCGATGGCCAAGAGTGCACATGTATTGATGGGAAAACCTCAGCTCTGGCTCTGGTAGACCAGCTTAATAATAGCAGTGACAGTGTGACAGCAAGAGCAGCCAATGCTAGGGACCGGCTCTTCATGGTAGTGGACGGAAGATCTTGGTTCTTATGGTGGCGATGCTGGTTGCATAGTGAGGCAAGTAAAGCTAAGATACCATGCTCTGTGATTTATATGTGAATTACGTTAAAGTTGATTATTATTTTTTATTATTGTTCGAGATACCAAAAGCTATGCGAATTATTTATATTGATGATTAATTCAACTCCTAATTTATTTGAAGTAATTTTTTTATTGAAAGAATCTTATGTAATATGCTGAGATATGTAAAATTTTTAATAATTATTTTATTGATAAAATTACAAAATAAATAAAAAATTAAAAAAGATAGTGAAGTTTTTAAAATTTGTTAAAAACATTCTAATAAAATAAAGTTAATAATAAATTGTTAAAAAATATGTAACATCGTAATTTATATTTTTTAAAATAAGAAATCATTGTTGTGAGTTACTCTACCACATAGATCCATGCCACTTTGGGTTCATGTGGGATCATGTGTTCAACTTTTTGACTGCTGCATCCTGCCTTGTCCAGACTTAGGATTTGGTGAAAATGGAGACAGAAATTTCAGAGAGGTCATGTGATACGCCACGTGATGCTACTGTATCTTTGAGTTTTAACTTTCTTGGAGAAGATCTTATTGATATAGATAATGAACAAATGGTTCCAGTAGAATCAATAGATTTTAAATGAAAGGCATCAATGGAAAAGAAGAAAGAATATATTTGTTGTTGTGTTGTGTTGTGTTGGTTTATTTAGTCACTCTCACTCACTCACTCACTCACTCACTCGCTCCCACTTTAAAGACTGTTTCAGAGAGCTTTCCAGCTTGGCCATGAGGACAGCAGTCACACCATACCATTCTTTCAAATCATTTATTTCTTCTGCTCTCAGATTTTTTCCTTTTTTAATTTTAATGATGCTCACGTGGGTGTCTGGTTGCACCATTTTAGAAGGTTATCACTCAGATATTTTTAGTTTAACGGGGCTATCAAATTGGTTTGGATTATCCCAATCAGTAGACATATATTTATATTTCTCTTTTAACAATTTCTTTTTTCAAATCATGCATCAAAGGCGTTAGCATATAATAGTCAGATACCAAAATATTTTTAATGCTACTTATTCAGATATTTCAAATTTTTAACGTTACTTTGTCATGTGTTTCAGTCTTTCCTTTATGCATTGATTGTTTTTTATACATTCCGTTATGATAATCTTTTTTAGGATAAAAAAATCACCGGTTGAACAAGTTAACTTAGATCCAATCCTCCAACTTGAACAATTTGTCTTGTAAAGATGCTCAAATATTCCGAAACAATTGACTACCACTGGGAAAATATTTGAAATTGGCGTGACTTAGGTTAGTGTAGGTTTGTATTTTTCAAACACTTTTTTTATTTTTATTTTTTTGGCACTATTAATCAATTGTAGCCGTTGAATCTTGTACCAAGTTATATGATACACGAAAATCCAATCCTCCATTAAATCTTAATTCCCCTTCCAGTGCCGACCAATTCTTCCTTTATAAGCAAATGTGAGTGGAAGTCCAAAAACTACACTGCCATTTCAGCCACCAGAGCTTCTGATTTTCATTACTGGCACCGGAATTGTAGCTTCTTTATGAGGAGTTATTGATCATTTCCTTTGGTAATTCAAGCCTTAAAGTTCAACCGAAAGTAGAACAATTTGCTGACCAAGGTTTTCATTTTAAGGCTTTTCTTACTTGTTCAATCTCCAACCTATTTTTCTCTTTCTATTCAAATTCAAATGCGAAATGCCCGTTACTTGGCAGAGATCCAGTTTCAATTTTTCAAGACCCCTTCTGCTCAAGTTTATGATGAAGAAATCTCCATCACATCAACAATCTGAGGCATGTTATTATGAAGTCTGTGGGTTTGATCTGCACAACAATGGCTTTTCCCAGGTATTAACAGATTAATTGTTGGTTTTCCCGGGTCTGGTTTTTCTATTGTAACAAAAATAGTAGAATGAGGAACACTTCTTCAAATACTAAATTCTGCATATTGTTCATGGAGTTTATGTTGAAGCATGTGATGTTGTATATTGAAGATTTCACCAAGAACGCATGCTCCAGAGTTCTGCAGTGAACGTTGTGTTTGGATTCTTTTTACTTGCATTTTATTGGATCATGTAATGTAACAAATGTGGTTCTTTGCTTTGATTAGTTGTTGGAGGGGGCAAAGAAAAACGTAAGTAGTTCATCAGTGCACGCAGAAGAATATGGGAAAAGAGGATCAGAGAAAGTTAAAAAGGAGAAGAAATCATGGAAAAGGAATCTGAAACCATCATGGTGGAAAGGTGACATGAAAAGAAGTGTGTTGAAATTCAGAAAGAGAGAGATTCCGTATATGTCTCTTCACCAACAAAACCTCCCTCGTGGTGGGCACAGCTATGGCCCCCTTTATGTGGTCACTTGAACACTTCAACTTCAACGCGTCTATGCATCCATTCTATCAATTTTCAATTTTAGAGTGCTTGGTGATGATAATCTTCAATTCTCCCTTCCTTGTTGCACAATTAATCAGTCAATGTTTAATTTCGAAACGTATTTCTTGCGCCTCACTTTTTTCTTTCAAGTGCACCAGCACCTATTTATTTGGTTTCAACCTTCAAGCCACTAGATTTGACCAGTGGTCAAGAATTTTCAAAATTTATAACAGGTCTTAATTCGAACTCAATTATCATTGTTATACCCAGTGTTCCAAATCTTTCGTCATTTTCGCTCTACCGGAACAATAATTATAATAATAAATTAATAGTCTTAACTGAATCCCTGTTTTTCAAAGTAAACTCGAATGAATATTCTGCAAAAAATTCTTCAGTTAGCAGAGGATGGTCACATAGCCAATGACATCGTTAGTAATGAATGTAAAAAAGTCCTGTGTGCCTTCTCTCTTTTTTAAGATTAACCACCTCTATTGTCAAATATAAAATATACCAGTTCACAGTTCATTCAATCAAAATCCATCCACACTGACAGTCTTAAAAAGTATTGACACAAGAAGATCAGCTTCACTGTGAGGCCTTTGTTTATTATCAATAAGATTCAGCATGGCCACTGCATTACTGAGGATTTCCAATGCAATAACCACATTTCAAATTTGTGCTGTCAAGTATTGGTGAGACAAATCAATCAATCCCAGATTGCATCCTTTTCACTTCACTTGTTTGATCAGGCTATTTGCAAATGAAAATCAAATTAAAACAGTGCAGCAAATATCATTTCCAATAAAAGAAAGAGTGTCATTCTATTCTCTAATATTACTAGAAGTCACCTATATTATATACAATAAAGACACCTGAAACAATTACTCTCCTCAGCCCTATATGCACAAGTATTGGAAAGGCTATAACAGCAAATCTACGAGAGCTCTGACCTCTCTCACAATAACAGAAAAAATAGACACCCAATTGGTGTACTTGCAGAAATTAGATAAAATTTTCACTCACAAATTGCTACCTCAATTCTCAATATTCACATTAAAGAAGAAAAAATAACGAATATGATTGGCAAATAATTCCAACTCAGCTGTGTCCTCCTCACCCTGAATTAGCTGCTAGTTCTACATCCCCAGAAGTAGGACTCCAAGGATTTAGCCTTCTGTCCCTGCTCAAAAGCCTCTTCAATGACCTCAGTCTTCCAGTCATTGGCGATTTCAAGTCATCTTCAGCAAACCTGCTTGCAGAAGGCGACAAAGAAGTTGGAGTCATATCACTTGGTATGTCAATCACCAACGTTCCATGTCGTCTGCTATTATTGTTATTGTTGTTATCATCACCAGAAGTAGGAGCGGCAGAAGATGAGGAGGGGCAAGGTGTCTGAGAAGCAACTTCCTCTGAAGAAGCACCACCGGTAGAACTTATTTGAGTTTGATCCCCCCAAACCAAGACGTTTGTGGGAAAAGTTGGAGACTCTGATTCTGAGTTTTGTGCATCAATATTTTCATCGGCTTGAGCAGCAACAGAGTTCCTGCAAAGAGGGCAGGTAGAATGGGACTGGAACCACATGTCAATACAACCAACATGAAACCCATGATTGCATTTAGGCAAAAGCCTGGCCTTTTCTCCTTCCACGACCTCCGAGAGGCAAACCGCGCATTCCAAACCATCCTTGAAGTCTTGGGCTTGGAATACCAACACGGGTATGGAGTTCAGCACGGAGGGATCCAGTCCGCTTCGAAGACCACCCTCTTGACCGGTGGAAAACACAAAGCGGCGGCGGCGGCGGTGTGATTGGGGAGCAGGGTTGCGCCACCAGAAGTTTCTACTGAAGAGATGAAGGCCGAGAGCAAATACAACAAGGAAGAACAACATCACTATAACGATTATCATTATTTTTCCGATCAAAGCCACGGCGGGGGATTCACCCAGAGTGTCAGTTGGAGGGGAGGAGTCACCCATGATGGTCTCTGTTCTCTAGTGAAAGCACAGAACAAAAGAATTTTGAAAGGGTTTGGAATGATGAATGAGAGTGAGAAGGGTCGGAGTTAAAATAGATGAATGGGGAATGCGAAGAAATGAGGTTGGGGCGAAGAACCTTCAGAATGGACTTCAAAATGAGAAGAACTGGATCACGACGGCGTTGAATGGTCCAACTTTATCTTGGTTGACCCACAAATGCACATGAAAATGAAAATGGAAATGGAAAAGTGTAATAATAATCTTAATCAGTATTGAACAAGAAGAAGAAGAAAAAGGATGGTTTAGTTTGGATTGGTTTCCCTTCCTTCCACGTCTCTGCCATTTTTCTCTCTCTTCATATTCACAATTTGAAACCAAACCAAAACATTAGCCGCAGCCTCTGCACCTGTATCTCTCACTCTCAAGTAAACAACAACCTTTTACTTTTGACTATTCCAACAATTTAACTCAAACACGCTCCATTCACACAATTCAATTCATCTAACAATTATGTTGGACAACGAAATATAAACTACTTCAAATTTATTTAAGAAATACATACCAACAATACCCAAAACTTCAAATAATATTCATACTAAAACCAAATGTATTCTGTTGTATGTTTTATATATATCTTATTTTATCAAAATAATTGAACGGACTAACAAGGAAATAAGTAAATAAAATAGAATACAAAATATGATTGTTTGGATTAGAAAAAAAGAGAGTAAAAATTGATGAGAAATAAGAAAACTTATAATTAACTTTATTGAATTTAGGAAAATATTAATTAAATAATTTAATGAATTTTTAAAATATCCTTGTTTTATAAATTCAAATTGAATATAGTTATATAATTTTTTAAAAATTTAATATTAAAAACATAAAATAAAGTTTAAATGATTTGAATAATTAATCACAAATTATGTTCAAAATTTTGTTTTATGTATCAATTGAAAAAACTATGATAATTGTTTTTCAAATGAGAAATAAAAGTTATTCATTAAAATCATACATATAAAAAACACATAAATATTTATTAAAAAAAATTACTCTAGTATATGCTATTATAAGAATGAATACTTTAAGTTAACCTATTATTAGAAGAAAATTAAATTAGGGATAAGAAACTTAAACTATAAATCCTGAAAATTATAATTCCAACATGTAATTAAAATGCATTTGATTTATCATAAATATTTATTGAAATATTTATATTAATTAGTATTAAATAATTAGTGAACTCAAATATGATAATTCAATCATAACATCAATAAGTAAGGTATAATTAACATTATCATATATATAATTATGTGTTCTGGAGAATTGATTACGTTACGGGTCTATTAAAGAAAATAATATATTAATTATGTCATCACATTTGATTATGTATGATCTCTAAGTCACTAATAAGTGACAACACCATTCTCACACGTTAGGTTATGTGAATCATAACCTCAATCCATCCAATTATTAATAAAGTTATTGTTTGTGTAATTATAAAGCTCAAATTTATTTTAATCTTAATAAGTTATGAATAACTGAATAATTCATATTTAATACGATTTGTTCTTCCTCAACACACCTTCATCCACCAAGTGATGTGACATATGTATCTTCTTCCTTCCTAATCACACCATCTACACACTGACCTAAATTTCAGCCTTCTTAGTCATTCTGGTCAAAACATATTTTCGTCAAAAACAATACTTTTGACCAAATTTTCAGCCTTAAAAAAACAGTTTCAATTTTTGTATTCTTCTCTCAATCTTCAGTTTAATTATCGTTAAGAAAGAAAAAAAACATCGTCAACAACCTAAATATCAATTCGAATTCTCTTACGTTATCAAGTAAAATAAAGTGATTATGTCAAAAAGAGAAAAAACACATTTTATCAAATAAAATTACTGAATCCCAAACCAATTGTTTTCTCTTAATTTCAACTTTCAGTTTCAAAGTTGGATCTTTGTGAAGCAAGGACATGAGAGACGAGGTTAATGAACTAAGGGGAAACTCTCACGATGGAAAGCGGCAGGAAGCACGATGTAACGAAGAACAATGAATAGATCAGAAAAAGTGCGGAAGAAACGAAGGAGAGAGTCATTGAAAAGATGGGCATGTGTGTGATTGTTGATGGGGAGAGTGATGTAGTTTCTGCAAAGGGGGCAGGTAGCATGGTTGTCGAACCAGGGAACAATGCAATGAAGGTGAAATTTGTGGTGGCATCCCGGTAATGTTCTTATCTTGCCTCCCTCAGAGATTCGGCACAGACACACTGCACAACAATCTCCTTCTCCACCACTGTAATTACTGTCATGCACTTCATCATTGTGCAGAAAGGTTTGGATTTTGAAAGCAAGAGCAATGGCTGTGAGTGTGAGTACGAAGATGAGGGTGGTGGTGATCATGTTGCCTCTTCTCTTTTCTTCTTCTCCATACTTTTCACCAACATTCCTCAATCTTTATTAATAGCCACCCACCGCCTGCAATGCATGCCGGCTTTCAATATTATAACTATATCCTTCACTTTCTTTCAAAACCATTATTAGATTGAAGGACGTGAAACTGACCTAAGCCTACTTTGTTTGTCGAAAGTTTGATTTAAAAATGGATGAATTAAATTTCACTAATTTTGTGCCTTCAAAAAATTTGCAACTCATTTTATAAATTAATTATTAAGGATTATAAAAATGGATTAAATAATATATTATTAATAAATAAATATAAAAGAAAAAAATAAAAAATAAAATTATAAATATATATTTAAATATATTAAATGATCATTAAGTTAAAGAGAAATAAAATTATAAATTATATGAGAATTACAAAACGAAGGAGGGATTAAAAGAATAAAATTATAAATATAGAACTAAATATATTAAATATTTGTTATATTTAAGTTTTCAAACTCATAAATTATCATAGAGTTAAACAACACCCGGGGCTAACTGATCATAAACCTAGTCAAACCTTTTAACTCACGACAAAAAGACTAAATTGCTACGCGGGCCTGGAAAGAAAGGATTTTGGGCGAGGCCCAAAATGGATGGGTTTGGACCCAAGGAAAGACGAAGCCCAACCCGGAGCGTCAAAGTGATTGACATTTTACAATTTACAGGTATTGTTGCAAGAGTCTTAACCGATTGGTTACATTATCCTATTTCTTCCGTTTCACAATTTCAATTTGTGGTGTGCGAGCGAAGCAGCTTCTTCAAAGGTTCTTCTTCTTCCTCCGCGAAAACGAGAGGAGATGCACTTTACGTTTCCCTGAATTGCACGCACTCCCTGAGCTCCCATGCCTTTGTTTGGTATCTTTACGTCTCTTGCTAATTTACGTGATTTATGCAATGTTCAATGTTATTAATTTCCCTTTTGCTTCGTTTGTGGTGTTTTGAGCAGAGATAACAAATGCGCAACTATCCTTCCGTTATTCTCTGACGCTCAAGGCCCCAATGCCATATCATGCGCCTAAAGGGTTCTGGATTTGCTTCGACAGCCTTAGATATAGAAAGGGTGCTAAGTTGAATGTGATTAAGGCTGTTGCCACGTTCGAACCTAACACTCTCGCTGCAAAACCACATTCCAACCACTTGGATGTTGTTCCTCTATCTCCTACTGCTTTTGACCTTCAATTCTCTGATCAACAAACACCACAACCTCAAACTGATGAGAGGGAGAAGTTGAGAAGAACGCGGATTTCCAATGCTAATAAAGGCAACACGCCCTGGAACAAGGGAAAAAAGCACACTCCTGGTATGCTATGCTTCCCATCCCCATCCCTATCCCACTTTCTTTTCTTTTCTCTTGTTCTCTTCCAACATTTCATGTAATTGTCAATCTCTCTGTCACCACCAGAGACTTTGCGCAAAATCAAAGAGCGAACAAGGCTCGCGATGCAGAACCCTAAGGTGATGTCATGTAAGAATATTCTTATGTCTTTTTTCAACAACATTTTTCATATTAATTAGTAACACAACATCCAATCCATATTATTCCCTTCACCTCAATTGCCTGACTATTTCAAAGCAAAATACACCATGTCTCATATTCATAATTTTTTAGCCTCTCTCTGCTTCACCTAATAGTTTCTTAGAGTCTTGTAATATAATCTATCATGATTAATCTGTTTTAAATGAGGATGTGAAATGATTATCGGGGTTTTTGAATATTTTATTATATAAAATTGGTCAATTGATTTCTTTTATAACATTTGTTAATGCAGATCAAAATGAAGCTGAGGAATCTCGGCCACGCACAAACGTAAGTAGATGACTATTGCCTTTCCCATGCTGACGTAAATACTGCTCTTTGTTGTTATTAATAACAATACTGCTTCCCATGTTGGTCAAAATGAATGCTGCTTCTTTGTTACTAACAAGTATATGCGTTCTTTATTGATTGCACAGTAGAGAAACAAGAATGAAGATTGGTGTTGGAGTGAGAAGGCGGTGGCAAAAGAGGCGAGAAAAGAAGATGGCGGAGGAGTTTTGCTACTTTGAGTGGAAAAATTTAATTGCAGAAGCTTCTAGACAAGGCTATGTTGGTGAGGAAGAGCTTCAGTGGAATTCTTATGAAACCTTGGCTGAACAGCTGGAGAAGGAGTGGTTGATGAGTGTTGAACAAAGGAAACAAATGATAAAGACACCAGGTGGCAAAAGAGCACCCAAGTCCCCTGAGCAGAGAAGGAAAATTGCAGAAGCTATCACGGCAAAATGGGCTGATCCTGTAAGTCTATATGCTAAATGCATTGAGGTTGGGTGATTAATGGTTTTACTGCTACTAAATGTTCCCCATATCTTTCACTTACCTTGTACACTAGTTGATTCACATAAAAGTTGTGTGTCATGGACACTAAAGTAAAGATTTTTAAATTACCCCACTTGCACAATTTAATCACATCTTCCCCTCATCTGGTTTAACTAGAAAGTCATGGTACATCTGATATCAATTTTTTAGATCTTTATGTTCATTGACTTGTGTATTTGATAGTTTGTCACAATGACCAACCTTTTCTTATAAGTTTCTTAAAATGTTATTTGTTGTACGACAAAGACATTGTAACTGATTTCTGTGTGCTACCTGGATTGACTAGAATATGAGGCTTAATCGTAGTATAGGTGTTCTTCTCCTGTTCGAAATTTAATTTTTGTTTTAGCTGTAAATTCTTTCTATGTTGACCCGATTCACTAATTGTCTTCCAAATTTAAATAAATACTTCGTATTGCTAGAAAGTTAGGTCAAAGGCTCATGGTGAAAATTCTCTATTATACAGAAGATGGAAGGGGAAGGAGGGGCAGCCAGAATAGTCAAAGGACCAATCATAAGTTCCATGTTTAAGATGGAGATGTTGTTACCTATTGACACTACTTCTTTTTTGTGTGTCTATCATTGTTAATATGTATGTGCTTGCTCTATCGTTGATGTGGACTTTGACTTACATTCTTATACGTGTTTGAATAACTTGTTACCCCAAATGTGGTAGATAAGTTTTGTCAAAATACTGTACCCTAAGAAATAAAGCTTTGTCAAAGTATTCCTGTTAAGAATCAAAGCAGAGTTGGGAGCAAATTCTTTCTGTTGATATTTTTCCTACCAATTTATTTTTCTGTTGAATCAGGAATACCGTCAAAGAGTTTATTCTGCATTGTCCAAGTATCATGGCACTCAAGTTGGAGCTGAAAAGAAACCTAGAAGAAGGCCAAGTGATGGTACCCAACCTGCCAAGAAGAAACCTACAAAAAAACGAGAGACTGATACTAGTTTTCGTGTTAAGAGTGTCACTAAAACCTGTAAGCCTATCCTGTTGAAAAAAAGTAAATCCCCAGCCTACAAGGATCCTTTGGTGAATTCTAAGCTTGAAATGATTAGGAATATTAGAGCACAGAGAGCTGCTGCTGCGGAAACCGCACAAACTCAAGCCATTGAACGAGCAAGGTAAAACCCCCACTACATACCCACACGCACAGACCCTTCTTTTTTCCTTGTTTTGAACATATTGGCCTCCTTTTTTTTTTATGGCCATGGTGGATGCACTGAACATCAAACATCGTTTAATTCTGTTTGGTTTTGGAGATTAGGTCAAATGCAGGTTTTGGGTTATTTGATCGCTATTGTAGTTGTTATCATGTTTACATTCATGAAATGATATGTTATGCACAGACTACTTATTGCTGAAGCTGAGAAAGCTGCCAATGCACTGGAGGTTGCGGCGACAAAGAGTCCTATTGCACAGTCTTCTTTGATAGAAACCAGAAAGCTAATAGCTGAAGCTATTCATTCACTTGAATCGATTGATACACAAGCTATTACTGATGATACTGTTCCTCCCGTTGGTTTGAGTGAGGTCAATGAGGGAAAAGAATCAGCATTTAAAGTTCTAAATGAATCAAAAATGGCCCAAGTAAATGGACGCACAACATTATCATCAAGGGACTATAAGTTCTCTGAAGATTTTAGCAAACTTTACTTGGAGAAGCCAGTTAATGGTGAACCTGAACTTCTCCTAACCAATGGCTGCGCATCCTTACCTTTTAGTTTGAATAGCCAGATAAGCGAATCTAGTCCATCAAATCAACAAAGGGAAGCTGAACAGGATCAGAAAAGTGAATACGAAACAGAATCTGCTCCAACAGTGGTGGGAATTCAGTCTCTTGAAAACGAGACATTGCCTAGATCACCTATCGTAGTAGCTAAAAAGTGGGTTCGCGGAAGGCTCGTTGAAGTGGCTGAAGAGAAAGAATGAAATGGGTAAAGCTTAGTTCAGTTTTGAAACAGTAGTACTATGCAATGTGATATTGTTTGTTGCATGTCATATAGATCATAAATGCCACAAATATTTTCTGCTTTAATAGTATGATCATTGCTTACTCACCCATTCACTCTTTGAAATCAAGAGGTGAGTTGTATAAGCCTCGCAACAGCCAACTACGTGTAGACAGATCGGGGAAGACTAAAATAGCTATCGCTAAGGAGAGGGCACACTTCTATTAGTTCACAGGATACTTCTACTTCTTTGAATCATGTTACATTAAACTAAGTTAATAATATGATTATTTTGTTACATTACAGCTTATGAGTTGATTATGTGAGTAATTTATGCTGTAGTTTTGTAGCCACTGCACAGATTTGAGCTCGAGCAATGATCATACTATTAAATTTGGGATGTGCCACCCGAATTATCAAGAGTAGGGAAGTGATGGTTAAGGCTTATCATACTGTATGACAATTGACCAAAACTTCTCTAGCTTTGCTCCTTTTTGGTAGTATAGTAAAATTGAAGTTATATGGTAAGTGTTAAAGAGATGAAAAATCTTTGCAACGCACTGCATAAAAATGTTATTTTATGTTGAAATGTTCTTGAAAGATAAAAGTGTTCATTTTTAGTCAAATAAATTTCGTATTAACTTTCTATTAGAATTTAGATGGAATAAAAACTCGTATAATCTCAATTTAACTCGTATAAATACTTGCAATATAATTCTAGTTTGAGAAGATAAAGAAATATAAGAAGTTACATAATTAATAATGAAACTGAAGGGAAACATAACATAAATAAAATTTGATAGTTAGTTAAATTAATATTGTTTTTTATTTAAAAAAAAAGAAGAAGGAATATAGAGAAGTGGGGAATGACATTAAGATGAGAATAATGTATGAAAGTGAAGTTAAAAAAAGTGGAAGTGAGGCAATAGGAAAGAATAAGAAGATTTCATTCCCCTCATTCTTGGATCAGCCTTGTGTATGCTTCCTTTTCATTTTCCTTTTTTTGATTTAATTTATGAATCCTCACTCACATTTATCTTCAACTCATTCACATTGATTTTTAAATATGATACACAAATATGATACACACAATTGCACGTTTTTAATTTATGAGATGATTTGGCATTCATGTTGGTCTTTTCATTAAAGATGAATTAAATCCACCATGCGTCTAACTAAGTCAGAATGTAGATTCTTTCACATCACAGCCAAACAGGTAGAGCAACAAAGTTATCTTAGTTTTAATTCAATACAAACTTGGGGTGAGGATCAAAGAGCAGAAGAGGAATCAGGTTTGGAGCAGTCGTTGATATGGGATTCTACATTCTTCTCAATCTGTTTCTTCTGGGCTTCCTTCTCTTCTTTGGCCTTTTGAATCTCCTTTTCCAGTTCCTCTTTCTGCAAAATCACACAGCAGCACGAGCAGACCGAGTTAGATTATAATAAGATATTATGATTATTATTAAAAAAAAGTATGAGAATGAAATGAAAGAAAAATATGGTGAAATGAATTTGATTGGATACTTCTATGACGTGAGAAACAGGAGGTTTAACTCCATGAACGGCAGCTCGATTTGAAGCCTTAGATGTGGCAGACCTCCAATAAGCAGCAGGAGGAATCATGTTCCACTTCTTCCCATTCCCAATCTTCAACACAATTCTTCCTTTCTCCATGCATCCACGCATATCTACACTCTCAAATCAATCAATGCGATTTTGAACAAGTTCCACTGCTGTTCTACGCACCTATATATACATTTTATGATTCAATCCTAAAACGGTGGCATTGCTAGAGGCTTCCATGTATATATTGGCGGAACACGTGGCAGCTATGTATCATCATCCTGGAACCAAAACCTTCTCCACTATCAACTTCCAAAAGTCTCCGCGTTGACTCTCTTTTTTCGCCTGCAGGTAAAAATAACTGAAACTTATAATTATTTGTAAAATATGATCCTAAGATCTGTGTAAAATTGTTTAACTTATTTTAAAGAGCTTTTCTTCCAATCAAGTATTGTGGAAGATGTTCATGGTCGCGTGATTATTACAGTGTTGAGGTGGTTGGGCCAGTTGAAGATTAAATTAGTAGTGGGTTGAGATGGGCCTGGTGGGTAAGTGGTCGTTTTGGTTGACAACAGATTCTTTTCTTGTTCCCTTTGAACTTGCACAACACTCATCATCCTCCTCCGGTGACCGCTCACCTCCCACCGCCAGGCAGTAATGGAAAGGGATTCATCTTCCGACGAAGAAGACGAGGTCATCCATCAGAAGGAGAGGAATGCCCCTACGTCTACCTCTTCCTTCCACCTCCAACACCTCACTTCGCGAATCACTTCAAACTTCAACTTGAACTTCAACTTTCACAAGAGATACCTCTTCGCCATTCTCCCTCTCTTCATAATCCTCCTCTACTATATCACTCCCGACTCCCACTCTCTCTTCTCCCTCTCCTCCTTCAACCTCCATCTCCGCCACGATCAACCTGAGGAGTCCCAATTGCGTGTCCTTTACCTCTTGCGCCAACAGCAATTAGGGCTTCTCCACGCTCTCAATTCCACTTCCCATACGCACACTATCAAATCCCTTCTCTCCAACCAGATTTCCCTCAACTCACAGATTCAACAACTTCTTCTCAGTCCCTACTCCACTGCCACCTCTCTCCAATTCCTGAACTCCGCGTGTGGAACAGTGGATCAGAAGCTGTCTGAAAGGAGGACAATTGAGTGGAAGCCCAAAGCTAATAAATTTTTGGTTGCAGTGTGCGTTTCGGGGCAGATGTCTAACCATCTGATGTGCTTGGAGAAGCACATGTTCTTCGCGGCGCTCCTTAACCGTGTCTTGGTTATTCCCAGCTCCAAGGTGGGTTATGAGTACGAGAGAGTGTTGGATTTGGAGCACATGAACAAATGCATGGGAGGTAGAGTGAAAGTGGTGATCTCCTTCCAAGAGTTTTCTAGAATGAGGAAGAATGGCAAGCAAGCGGGTAAATTCGTATGCTACTTTTCGCTGCCTCGACCGTGTTATCTGGACGAGGAGCATTTGAGGAAGTTGAAATCGTTGGGGCTTTTGTCCATGAATAAGCCCGCGGCTGTGTGGGATGAAGATGCGAGGAAGCCCAAAAAGAGAAGCGTGGAAGAGGTTGTGTCAAGGTTTTCACAGGAGGAAAAGGAGGATGTTATAGCCATTGGGGATGTGCTGTATGCAGATGTGGAGGAAGAATGGGTAACACAAACAGGTGGCCCACTGGCTCACCAATGCAAGACTCTCATTCAACCCAACCGTCTTATTTTCCTCACTGCACAACGTTTTATCCAAACCTTCCTCGGCAGGAACTTCCTTGCATTGCATTTTCGAAGACACGATTTCTTGAACTTCTGGTACCTATGATGACAACTCAATCAAGTAAATGATTTCATGTGATGTGATTGTGATGTGTGATGATCCGTTTTGTTTCGTGTTTGCAGTAATGGTAAAAAACCAAGTTGCTTTTATCCTATTCCTCAAGCAGCACATTGTATCTTGCGTGTGGTTGAAAGAGCCAATGCACCCCTCATTTATCTCTCTACAGACGCCGCAGAGAGTGAAATTCGGCTGCTTCAGTCACTGCTTGTGCTAGATGGCAGACACGTTCCACTCGTCAAACGCCCACCTCGGAATTCAGCAGAAAAATGGGACGCTTTGTTGTACAGGCATCATATTGAAGGAGACCCTCAGGTCTGAATACAATACAGTATATGTCAATGCCATTCATTGATTTATCCATTCATCATGCTGCATCTCTCAATTGTTTGGTTTGTATCCATATGTGCAAAATTTGTATGATTTTTATTCATACGCTCTTTCAGAGATCATTATGACCGCCATTTTTTGTTTGTTTTCATGAAGTCCTGTAGTTTTTCAGTCATTCATTCAAGCTAAACATTTTTGCTGTCAGAACTAAATGAGATGCTTCTCATGAAGATTTTTCTTTTCTTTCCTTCATGGTTTTTGTGCTATGAATTTCGTAAGATGAGTGAGAAGTCTTTAATGGGGGTGGCGTGGGCCTTGTAAAATTTTGCTAACGTGCATTGTGGACATCGTTATTCTTAAGGTGGAAGCTATGTTGGACAAGACTATATGTGCCATGTCTAGTGTGTTCATCGGAGCATCCGGTTCGAGTTTCACCCAAGACATTCGACGGCTAAGAAAGGACTGGGGATCCGCATCATTGTGCGATGAGTACCTTTGCCAAGGTGAGGAGCCAAATGTTGTAGCGGAGATGGAATGAGAATCACAAATAACTCGGACGCCTCATCTTGTCCTGCAAACCTTTCACTTTGAGTAGGATTTGTCGTGTATTGTCATGTTCATGTATGATAATAGGGTTGCTCATTTCACTTGTAACTTTTACTGTTATATATATAATCTTCAGCAATAAGTATAGTTTGGACGATTCACATAATTTATTTGTTATGTTTTCTTATTTTTAAATATTTTTTCTATTCCATAACATAATCGTCAACTTAATTTGTTTTTAGTCTCAAACATATTTTTTTTATTCTTTAATAACATAACTGATTATATATATTTATTGATAACACAATCAATTAATATGCGTATTTTCTCAATTTTTGCGTTTTTCTCTTATTTTTGAAAGAAAATTATTTAATCTCCATTTTTGTATTTTTTTTCTATCGTTCAATTAAATTAAACTATTATTATGCTTTCTATTTCTTTCTTACGTTTTACTCTCGTTTGTCCTCATCAAAATTAGAAAAAATAAAATAAAATTGTATTGATATGCCATTTGACATCTAGTATATAATAGGTATGAAAAATGATATGATTTAATTGCAATAGGAAAAGAAAATTAGAAAGAAATATTCGGTGACATCACTCTTTTCACCTTTCTGTATTTCTTGTCTGTTCCCCCTACATGTTTTATGCTTCTACCTTATTATTGATTTGCCATCAATACCTGAAATTCGGCTTCTTTTTTGCTGCTTCCATAATTAATTTAAATTCCAACCATTTTTGCTTCTTCTTGTGATAGGAAAGCTGATATTCCGTTGCTGTTTTTCTGCCCGTAATGGTTAACGTTGCCAGAGCCCATATATTTCACCCTTATTGTCATTGTAATCGACTACATTAGTTTACAAAGTTAAATTGCACAAACTAGGAAACCTTTCATTATTGCCAGTTATTAACAGAATATAGAAGGCACCAATCTAACTGAGCTTCAAATTTGTGACTATCGAAATTATATTACAAAAAGCGACATACATCACCGGGTGTCTAACTTGGTTCACCAAAGGTGCAAATCAATCTAACTCAGAGTGGTATAGAGTGAAGGGTTAAAGAAAAGGAGAAAAATATAACTACATTTTCTTGGGAGGCATTGCAGTAAAACACAAGGGGGTTTAGATCTCCCGTAGAGCTTGCTCATCACTTCCTCGTTGGGATCCTCCATGATCACTACTACTAAATGTTCGCTTGCTCATGTTAGCTCGCTGCACTAATCGCACCAGTGCTTGAACCACTTCTGACATTGGTGGTCGAAATTCAGGCTCCGTCTGCCCCAAAAAAGTCAAACAAACACTTTACCATTTTGATAGACAACCCAATGCTTAAGCTCAGCAGTTAAGGAGGGAGACAAACCAATCTATATTTATAAAATCAATAAATTTAGGGTGAATTAAACGTGGCTGACAATACCTGCACGCAAAGAGCAATAACATCGGCAAATCGAGAAAGAGACTTGACAGGATATAGCCCTTTCAATGCAGGATCAACCATTTTAGCCAATGCATCAATATCATGCAGTTGAGGTGTTGCCCATCGAACCAAAGACTGCTCAGATCTTGGCCTTGAGCTGTTACAGAATGTTTAAACAATCAGGACTAATAGAGGAGGCAACACACACACACACACACACATCAAATTTAGAAAAGTATTATGTTAAAAGGTGTGGCAATCATTCACCTATCAAATGGCTTCCGTCCGCTGAGAAGTTCCAACATAACAACCCCAAAGCTGTAGACATCACTTTGCAAAGTATACTGACCAGACAAGGCAACTTCAGGTGCATCATATCCGGATCCAACATTATGGCTCAATATCTGAATTTGAGACCAAAAGTTAGAACAATAATTTTATTGGGTTTAGTGTCACTGGGTACTGTGGTCAGAATATTCCTGCAGAAGCACAGACTATATTGTAGTTTGAACCCTTTGACGCACAAAAATTACCTTGAGCTTCATTGCCCCTTTGGTCATTCAATTTACAATTGTGAAATTTTAGTTCTCGAGATCCCCATTTTATAAATTGCATCCTTCAGGCATCGCAAATGTGCGATTTTAGTCTATTAAGGTCTGATTGTGACACAGTCCTTCATATAAGGCATAGGTGAATGTAAAGTCAACAAATTTCATGTGACGGAGAAACTAAAATTGATTAGAAATATGGGATATAAATCGCATATTTCCAATACTTGGGAGACCCAACTGGAACATGTGAAACCTAAGGGACTAAAATTGCTCAATTGTGATACTTAGAGGACAAAAAACGCAATTAAGCATTTACCCTGGTTAGATTTAGAAAGTTGAACAAAAAAGAAAATTTCCCAATCAATTAACAACCTGAAGAGCCAACAGTGCACTATTATTATTCTGTGCTGCTAGCTGAACTGATTAAATCTACAAGTTACTGCATTCATTATATGAAAATTAATTGTGTAGTTATGCTCATATGGTTAAGAAGACCACTAAAATATATTATAACCCCAAGCTTGTCTAAAGTAGTCACCATTGGTAATTCAGAAAATAAATTCCAATAATTTGTTTTCTAAAATGCAATACACTACATATTTTAAAGCATACATGACAAACGGGAATGATCAGCATACAATAAAAATATGTAGAAACCTAGCTATTACAACAGTCAAACCATTTGGCCAAACACAATCACCTTGAATTATAAAATCCTAAGTTGCAAAGATTTATAAAATCACCTGGTCTGCGTTTGGAATATAACTTGCCAATCCACTATCTGAAAGATGAGGATTGAGCTCTGCATCAAGTAATATGTTGGCTGACTTAATATTCTTATGAACAATTGATGGCGAACTAACTTCATGCAGATACCTGGAAAAAAATTGTGGAGAAAGTCAGGTCATTTAGTCTCAAGGATAACATTGACATTTATGCTTGATGTCCAATCCAACCACATGTTAGCACATTAAAAATCAGGGAAAAGAAAACTTCCAATGTAAGTAAAATGCATACTTCTGCAAAGTGGCACTTTCCCATCAACTGATAGTGAACTGATTTTCAAGGTGACAGTGGATCAAAATTAAACTCAATTCCTATTTTATTGTCCAAACTAATCTTCTAGTGTTTTATATTTCCAAGAGAACATTAGATAAACTATCAATCCAGAGTCCGGACAAATTTTTATTTGGAGAACTGAATTCTAATTTTAAATCAGTCAAGCTCATAAAGGTCAGGCCAGTATGCAATTTAGGCAGAATGCCAAACAAATACATAAAATAGAAAGACAGAAAAGGAAGAACGAGCTAATAAATCTGAAAAAAAAAATAAAATTAAATATTGATCATGAATTGATGTAAAAATTCCTCAAAAAATGCAATATATAAGGACCTTCTAGTCCCATTAGTCCACAACTAACTTACTCTAAAGCACGTGCAGTCCCCAAAGCAATCTTGACACGGGAATTCCATATCAATGGTTTACTATATTCGTCTGATAGGTGAAGGAAGTCATGCAGTGATCCATTTTTATGAAATTCGTAGACCAAGAGGTGTTGTCCATACTCTGAGCAATAACCTACAAGCTCTGTCACATTTGGATGATGCAAAATGGAGATGTTTGAAATAATTTCTATAAAATCATCTGACAAATCATTGGGAAGGACAGATGAATCTATCTTCTTCACTGCAAGAACCTACAAATTAGAGATAAAAAAGAGTCAAAATTTCACAGTATTTAATGGGATATTCACTATATCTTCATTTTTACATGTACATGAATTTTGAGGCACCTTTGCTTCTTTTTGTTTTTCTGAAGAGATGGGAGACACTAAAACTAACACCACCTAGTGTCATAACAGAAATGCATTCATTTGTGTACTTGTGAATAGATACCACTCAGATTTGATCCACTTCCAGGGAATATTAAATAGAATGACACTAATCTTAATATACTAATCCTTGTCATTGGAATCAAAGTCAAATTATAGTAATAGTGGTTAAGAAATACCTGTCCATCATCAAATTGAGCACGGTACACACGCCCAAAAGACCCCTCACCAACAAGGTGATCCACACTGAAGCTACCAGTAGCAATCTGCAGTTCAGCAATAGAATATGATTTCACATTTGCAGGAGCTGTTACAGTCTTCTTCACAATTGTGGACTTCTTGGAGAATTCTTCATCATCAAATGATTTATGTCGATCAATAGGTGGGGGTTTAAGATTTATTGATGCGGAAGTATCAAATGTCTTCATGTCAGATACAGAGGACATTTGCTCCAACTTCTCTTCTGCATTATGGCACATATGTCAATTTGGATAGTGAAATTGTAAAGCAAAATAATACGCAAAATTTGGAATTGCAAACTTTAATTTGGAAATAACTGGATGACTAAAGAGGAAAACACAGACCAGAAATATATAACAACAAATAAAAGATAAGTTGGTCTTGTTCTTAAATAGTAAAGTTTGGCAATATCATAATAGATTTCTCTAGTCTAGTAGCTACAAAGACGTATGGCATGGCGTCAAGCCATGCACCCGTTCCAGGAAAACAGGGCTAGAGAAACTGCTACTATCTTTTCTAGCAAAACAAATTATCCACTGATAGGAAGTGCAAATATGAATATGTATTGGGAGACTAGCACCGTAACACAGGAAGACCTCCGAAATAGAGAAAACCAAGAATACGTTCACAAAAGAAAAGAACCAGCAAGCATAACAGTAAGAATGGCCTCATCATTAAAGAAATTTTATCTAGAAATAGTACGCAAGATGCAAACCATGCACTTCATTTGAAGGAAGTGGAGCAAAGGACTGATTGTCAAGCTTTTCTAAATCTGAAGATGTCTTCTTGGATTTTCTCTTCACCAGAAAGAATGCTACTATTGCCCCTACAACTATGACAGAGATTACAATTCCAGCTATGGCGCCAGCTCCTACACTGGATCTTTTGCCTTCACCAACTGAGATGCTGCTACTGCCAACATCTGATGGGGTGGTGCTTCCCCCTCCAGAT